ATCCCAATCCATATGCACAAAGACCGGAATCTCAAGCACATCCTCATCCTGCTTAGAAGCCGCAACCGCCACGACATCCTCGTCAGTGGTCTTGGTATTGGGATTGCCATCGCCACCTTCAGCACTACTCCCAGGCAATGTACCAGGAACAACCTCCAACACGACGGTCGTCCAGTTCCGGCCCTTATCCCACACCTTGCCTGCTTCGGGAACTCCGCGTAAAACGGCGGAGCGAGAGTCACTTGTTGACGGTGCAGAGCCACCCTGCAACGCTTCGTCCCAGACATCGCTGTTCGCGCCAATTTCGAACTGCGGAGAGAGAACTGTGACTTTCGTTGCAACGTGGCCAGGGGTTACAGGGGGCGTGGCGAGGGTGATGCGGACTGGGTCGAACATGTGGTTTTTAAGGGTAAGAAGGACGTGGATTGGGCGCAGCGGTGGGAGGGAGTTAAGGTCGGTGGTTGGGGCCATGGCTGGGAGGGCTGATGAAGAAGAGAGAGTTAGAGGACGGAGGGTTGGGAGAGGGATGTAGCTGAGGGCAATTAGGCGGATGCGGAAGCGAGTAGATTGCGGCTTGGTCTCGGGTTTCACGAGGATGTGCTTGCAGGACTTGCATCGCTTGGCTCGCTTGGTGCGGAGGAGAACTGGGAGTGGGAGGAGATCGTCGACGAAGCGGGCTTCTGGTGATTGGGTTGCGCGCTGGTCTATCGAGGCCATACCATCCCAGCTACATTCTGGAGACTGAAGTCGTGCAATCATGTCCGTCTCGTTGTTTTCTTGGGTGACTTGAAGGCCCTCGCTTGCAGTCAGAGCTTCACGCATAACAGGTGGTTTGGATTTAGGCTTCTGTTTGCCGCCATACAACCCGCTTAGTCGTGATGAAGATGTGTAGAGAGACATAAGACGGTTTAGTGCGCCTGGCGAAGAGAACCCAAATTCCGAGCTGAGATGATCAGTTGGCGAGTTTGATGTTTCGGCGATCTGTGTACGGTAAAAGCTTTTCAGGGCTGCGAACCGGGCGTCTGTGCCCATTGGAGGCGCAGCCGGGTCATCTTTAGGGTCAGCTTGCTCTCCATCACGCTCGCGCGCATTGGACGGCTCGTCAATCGAGGCGTAGCTGGACAACGGATGTTTCAGATCTCCAAAGGCGCGAGAACCTTGCCTCGAGCGATCAAGAGCAGCCGGGGCAGTGGAATCTGTCATCTTTTGCAGTTGACTGCGGATATTTGTCGGCTTATCAAATTTGATGCCGATGTCTAACGTCGTCCAAAGACAGTATCCACAAGATAACACCCACGGACCCTGTTGAGGCCCGTTTCCTGTCGCATTCTCAATGGTACTCACAGCTAACGGAGCTGTACAAACAGGACAATTGAAACAATTCCGGCCACATCTATAGATATGCGCGTGTTAGCTATATTTGAACATATTTGAACATATTTGAACACAACCCTTCACACCCTCTAGTACATACCGGTTACCATCACTCCGCACCATACTGCTCGGGGTTTCAAACAAGCAGCTAGGACAATACCAGCTTACGATCTCCTCCGTAATACATCGAGGACATTTGATTTGGTGGCACTCCTCGCAGTATAGGAGTTGTTCAGGCGGATACAGCGAGAAGTTGGACCGTGGAGAGCGGGGATCAAAGGTTTGCTCTTCGTCATCCTCTTCGTGTTGCTCCTCCTTTGCTGATAATTTCTTGTCTTGGTCTGTGTTCGCCTGCTCGGCTGGTGATTTCTGCGGGGACTCCCTCGACTTTCGCTTCCTCGCTGGATCGGGGACCGGCGTGTCGGCGCAGGGGCATGATATGTAGGTATATGGGAAAGGACGCGACATTTTGATATCGACGTGGAGGAGCGAGCGAGACGGTGTGTGGTAGCTTTCGAGGTGTGTACTTGGATCAAATCATGCTTCGTCTTTGTGGGGTCGAGAGTTGAATAGCGTGACGAAGGAAACAGATCGACCGATAGAGAATTCGTGGCTACCAGACGGCTTGTCTTTCGAGTAAAAATATCTTGGTTTTAAGGATCTCAACCTTATTGCGCCAACCCAGAGACTCTGAGAGCAGCGTGTTGGCGCGCGGTGACTTACTCGTGCAGCAGTTGCAATTGTTCTGCCACGCTCAATGCACTATGCACAATGTGTATTGAGAAGTATGAACCGACACCAGGTCAAGTGTCTCGAAGACACCAATTGCATAAAGTCCACGGTCTGCGGAGAGGGAGCTCTTCCGCATCAACAATCGACGTCAGCTCCCGCCATTTTCTGCCCACTATCGCCGCAAAGTCATGGACTGGTATGCTTGAGAGTTTTGAATCCTCATATCCATTATCCAGCCACAATGATATCTCTACGGACATTTCGTGCCAGCCTCGCAAGGCGATGCTTTACCCCATCAATTACTATCCGAAACTATGCCAGCCAGACGCCCGGCAACCCAATGCTTGAAGTCTTCAACCGCAAAGTCAAGCACCTCCAAAAAGATCGGGCAGCCCGGAATGTCGAAGAAAGTCGGAAAGTCGACTACCTGAAAGATGAAGTAGCAATGCGGCTATGTGAGCGCTTACTGGTAAGCCACTCAATGAAGCAAGCGCAGAAAAAAAGCGCAGAAGTAGTAAAAAAGACACATCCACTGACAAGAGCTTCTCTCGCCATGAATAGGACATTAAACGCGACTTCCCAAACGTCCTGGATCTAGGCGCAAATAGCTGCAACATTGCCCGAGCTATCACATCCCCCAATCTCGACTCATCCATGCCGGAAGGAACCATCACACCACCGCTATCAAAAAAGATCTCGAAGCTGACATGCGTGGAGACATCGCATGCGCTGCTCCACCGCGACGAGAATGATCCGTTTAACAAAGAAGTCGATATCCAGCGGGATGTGATTCCGGACCTGGAAACGTTGCCGTACGCACCAAACAGCTTCGACGCCGTGCTCTCGTCGCTCTCGATCCACTGGATCAACGACCTGCCCGCGCTCCTGGCACAGGTGAACACAATATTGAAGCCTGATGCGCCGTTTATCGCGGCTATGTTCGGTGGCGATACGTTGTACGAGCTGCGCGGGTCGCTGCAACTGGCTGATATGGAGCGACGCGGTGGTGTGAGTCCGCATATATCGCCTCTGGCAGATGTCAAGGATGTCGGGAGCTTGTTGGGCCGTGCTGGGTTCAAGATGCTCACTGTTGATGTTGAGGATATTGTGGTCGAGTTCCCGGATACATTTGCGCTCATGAAGGATTTGCAGGCGATGGGTGAGAGTAACGCTATCATGAACCGTGACTCGGCGCCGCTTTCTCGGGATGTCTTGCTGGCTAATGAGGCTATATATCGTTCCCTGCACATGGAGGAAGGTGACCGTGGTATCCCGGCGACGTTCCGGTTGATTTATATGATTGGGTGGAAGGAAGGCGAGGGCCAGTCGCAGCCGTTGCCGCGTGGCAGCGGCGATATTAACCTCAAGGACGTTCTTGAGGGAGGCGACTTCAATAGACCATGAAGAATGGAAACAAAAGGGCAAAGAGAAAGAGCCCAATATTTTGTGACAATATAATAATGTAAAACTACGCTTAAAGCGACACTGGAGAGATATTATCCACAGGCATGTATGGAATGCAAGCCTCTACCAAGACAGGAACGAAAAAACAGTCAAATGTAAATCATAAGAAACGAACCTCCATCCGATGTTGTTTTCTCCGCTCAAACCGTTCTACGATCAGTCATGACCCGCACAATCGACCCAGTACCAGCAATCTCCACAAGCCTCTCGTGCCAGCTCAACAAAACGCTCATCTGCTGACCACCACCACCACCTTCAGCCAAGTTGCGAGCCTGGATCTGCGAGAAGCCCGTGTTCTGAGGCGAAACCACATTCTTTGGGGTCTGCGCACCGCTACCAGGAGTAGCCGAGGACATTCCCTTGTACCTGTAATCAATAAATCAGCAATTAAATCCACGATTCCCCACCAGACGGTTCCTCTGGAAATCCTAACAGTAGTCCACTTACAGGTATTTCATCAAGCAATCCGCCCGCTCAGCGCCACCATCCCCGCTGCACACTCCCTCCAGGATGCGAGTCATCTCGCCCTGCCGGATACCCTGCAGCACATCGATGACGGTAGCAAGATGGACCTCCTTGGCGCGGTCGTCGCCGCCCAGCGGCGCCGTGTCGAGAACAGTACGCAGAGCGCCCTCCGGGTCACCGCCGCGCAGCATCTGGCGCACCTGTGTCGCGGCATTTGCCGCGTCACTGGCGCTTGCAGCTTGGGGGAGTGTGGCGGGGAGGAGGGATTCCATGGGGAAGTTGGTCGAGGACTCGGGGTCCAGGGCATCGATGTTGATGGTGCGGTAGTTGATTTGCGACATGATGGCGGTTGGGGTTTGGTCGAGGGCAGAAGTTGGGTAGAAATGGGTCTCGATCAAGTTGTTGATCAAGCCAGTCGAACGGGTCAGGGAGCTTTGTGGGGAGCTGCCTGTTGGTCTGTTTGGTATATCGGTGCGGTGGGCGGAAGCGGGGAGATTACTAGTGACGTGGGAACGTCTCCGAGAAGTATGAGATCCAATGGGGATAGAATGAAATAACGATGTGGGTTGGGAGAGACAGGGATCAGATTAACTGATCACAGATAAGTAACAAGGTGAGTTGACAGGGTAATGCGGAACCAATTGGGGAGTCTACGGGAGATGGAGCTGGACACTTGGTAGACGGGGTGTTGTGGCCTAAGGCAGAAATATATAGTACCTTCACCTAGTTGCCTGGAGGCTCATGTTTTATATGATATTGAGAATGCTACTAAACAAGGCTACTGATTTCCAGTGTATTTTCCATGCAGAAATAAGTAAATTTTATTATTAACGCGGGAGTGTCGTTTTTTCCAGTGGTATATATACATATCCTCTATCAAACCCAATACTTTATAAACAATCGCAAAATAACAAGATATCTCACAGCCACAAAATGCTAATTAATAACAACGCTAAAATGACAAATTAAGGAGAGGTCGTAATTGTGATAGGGGGCACCACGACAAGAGTAGGAGTGGCAGGACGTTCAGGAGACTTTTGCTTGTTCTGATTAAGACTCTCAGGAGCTTCTTCGGGATCAGCAGAGTTTGCGGGCGGCGAATCCAACTCGAGTGCATCTTCCGACTTCTGCTTGTTGACAACACGACGGGTGAAACGTTTCACAGGTCTAAAGAAGGACCTGATACCACGACCAATTGCCTTGCACCCCTTAGAAAGCGGGCGCAAGATAACCGTCATACCGCCAACAACGGCATTGAAAACAATACCGAAATGGTAGTCTGGAATGAGTCGGAGCACGATAGCCCAGGGCAAGCAGGCAATGGAACAGATAACACATACCCCCCAGAGGGTGCTACTCAAGCGAGTCACGGCGAATGCCTGGCCGCCCACGTAGATGATCATGATCTGACCAGCGACCATGATGGTGTTGATTCCTAGGAACCAGTAGTTGCGGAGCATGCCTTCGAAAATATTGAACTTGTTGTCGAGTCGGCGGTTGTTGAATTCGTTGAAGATCTGCATCCACACGAACGTGTTGAAGACCACGGTCGACAGCTCCTTCGTGCGCATCTCGGGATCTGAGCTGAGATGGGCACTGAGGAGCTTGTCGCCTGCGAAATAGAGCATGAATGTGATGGCTAGCTGGTACACTGCTTGGCCGAGAATCATCTTCCACATGGTCAATGTGAAGAGGGAGGCGTGTTTGGGGACAGGCTTGCGGTCGAGAATTTGTTCAGTAGGGGCATCAGTGGCTCTGTTGTTCCAAAACGTTAGTAAAAAGTTCAAACGAGCTGTAAAAGAGGCAGAAAGACTTACAAGGCGAGAGCGGCAAAGGTGTCCATAATCAGATTCACCCAGAGTAGCTGCACAGCGGTCAACACACTGGTGTTATCACTGCTGTATACAGATGACACGAAGGTGAGTATCACAGCCGTGATATTGACAGTGACCTGGAACTGCAAAAACTTGGCAACGGCATCATTGACAGCTCGGCCCCAAGAGATCGCTGTGATAATGGACTTGAAATTATCATCCAGAAGGATGATCGAACTCGCCTCCTTCGCGACCTCAGTACCAGCAATACCCATAGAGAAGCCGACGTCTGCAGTTCGCAAAGCCGGGCCGTCATTAGTACCATCGCCTGTTACAGCAACCGTTTCACCGAGGGCCTTGAGCCGCTCGACCAAGATTCGCTTGTCATCGGGGGATGATCGTGCCAGTACTTGTAGGCGGGGAAGAACTTCATCCATCTCCGCGTTTGTGAGTTGGCGGAACTTAGGACCTTCCATGACCAATCCATCTTCCGTCTTGATTCCACAAGAAGATGCAATAGCAGTGGCAGTGGCAATGTTGTCACCAGTTACCATCTTGACCTGGACGCCTGCCGAGTGGCATTTTCGAATGGCTTCCGGGACTTCGGGGCGGAGAGGGTCCTGAATACCTACGACTCCGACCCAGGTCATACCATGGAAGAAATCGTCGAAATTCGCCGAAGAATCTTCAGAATTCTTGGCCTCTGCCGGTGGCCAGGCCGTGAAATCCTTGTAAACCATGCCGATTGTCCGAAGAGACTTGTGAGCATAGTTGTCGATGAGCTCGAGAAGGCGCTGCTTCTGTGCCTCAGAAAGCTGCTCCACATCGGGTCTCTCCTTGGAAGTATCGATGTTGACAATTTCTGAGGTACAGACGCCAACCATTATCTCGGACGCTCCCTTGACAAGCAGTCGGTAACCAACACCAGGAACACGGTAAACAGCACCCATGCACTTCCTGGCGGAGTCAAAAGGAATCACTTGGGCGATCTCGGCGGAGCCACGCTCCGAGACAAGATCCATTCCCATATAATCTCGGGCCAACTGAAGCATAGCAACCTCAGTCTTACTACCGACAAAATCTATGGAGCCTTCTTTTTCCTGTTCAAAGGCAGTCGAGTTCAAAGCAATGCTCTTGATGATCAGATCTTTGATCGGAGCCGATAATTGCTGGGAAATCGCCGAAATAGTCATTGACCCCTTCACGTCTTCATCTTCGGTTCTCTGGCTGAAGCCCTGGTCCGAGCCCCAGGTTCCGGCCACCACAGTCATTTTATTCTGTGTCAATGTACCTGTTTTATCAGAGCAGATGACTGTGGCATTGCCCATTGTCTCGCATGCGCGAAGGACACGGACGAGATTGTTCTCTTTGACCATTCGGGTGGTAGCAAAGGCCAAAGCCAGCGTTACTGCCAGTGGAAGGCCCTCTAGAAGAACATGGATGTCAGCATAGTTCACATAATTCGAAGAATCAGCGCTTACCTGGAATAGCGACAACAATAACCGTGACAGCAACGATAAGAATATCCACAAACTCTTTGCCTTTCATAGCACCGTTCTTTTCCGGGTGATTAGGAAGATCGGCTATAAAACGGAAGAGCAGAACGAAGAACAGAATACCAGCAGCTCTGTAAATTATTATCAGTAACCTGTACAAGAAAAAAAGGAAGTCCGGGGGGGGGGGGGAGTCTACTCACGCTGTACCCAAGTATCCAATCCAATCCGCCAACTTACCCAGCTTGACCTGAAGCGGCGTTGGGTCATTGGGAGTCTGCAGCGACAGCAAGATCCGTCCGTAGGTAGAATATGGCCCAACACTGGTGACAACATAAGTTCCAAGACCTTCAAGGACCTTGCTACCGGAGATCAGGAACGGGTCGAGTTTTTTGGTTGCCTTGCCGTCGACAATTTGCTGCCAGACTTCATGGCCGGGGGTCTTTTTCATTTGATCCGACTCGCCGGTAGCGGAAGACTCATCACACTTCACCCCGAAGCCTGTAACTAGAATACCATCCGCGGGGATGGAATCGCCTGCCTCAAGATGGATGATGTCTCCAACCATGATATCGTATATTGAAATCATATTGGTTTTTCCCGAGCGAGTGATTTTGACTTCACGGTCATCGTTCTGTTAGGATGTTAGATATGTTCACTTTCTTGAGTTGGTATGGGAATACTTGCCCGTTTGTTGAGTTTAGCGAACTGTCTCTCTTTTTGCCAATCGTTGGCAGCTGTCACAATTGTAACAATCAAAATAGCCACACAGATGGCGACTCCCTCCACCCAGTCGACGCCTGTGCCTTCTGACACGGTCTCGTATATCCCTAGGGATAGTGAGACCACAGCGGCGATAGTCAATAATATAATGATTTTGTCGTTATACGCAATCCAGAATAGTCTCAGGAACCCGGTCGATTTCCGTGCGGGTAGTTTATTCTGACTGAAGACACGGATGCGGTCTTCGAAGGGTGAGCCACTACCACCTGCTGACACCGGCGCCGGCTTCGAAGTGTTATCTGGTAACGGAGATTTTCCTGTAGATGTGTGTTGCGAAGGTGCCACATCCATGAACTCGACATTACCCTCCAGACGCCCTTCATCTATTGACAAACCGGCATTGAGATCTGTGCGCAGACCACGCTCCAGACCCTGCAAGCCGCCAAGAGCATGGAATGCAGCCAGGGACTTCGGGTTCTGCATTTTGTTTAGTTGACCGGGGGAAAACGCAAACCGATTATCTTCGACTTGGAAATCAGTTTCATTCCGAGGGTCGGGTTTCAAAGCATCTGACAACGATACATCGTCATAAGCATCTTTGGAAATATGTGCCGAGTTTACTTCGGAGTTCGCCCGCGAACGAACTACAGTATCTGCAGAAGAAGCGAATGAGTCCGCCCGCGGACGCAATGTATCGCCATCAATCGACGGCGACGGTTGATGTGAGGGATTTTGAACCATCAGCCGCGCTGGATCTGGTTGGTTCCATACCGTATCTGGTGAGACGGGAGAAGTTGGGCTTTGATTTAGATCTGTAGGTCCCGACCATGCGGAAGAGGCTGTAGATATAGATCGCTGGAAAAAAATGAAATAAGATCAGCAAAAGAGTTCAAGTGTTTATAGGATGGTATGGGTGACCGACCTCCCTGCCCGAAAAGTCAGTCACTATAACAGGGCTCAATAATGAGCCCTGATGGGAGGTGTCATTGTTTGAAGAAGACATAGTGTGCAAATCCCATCGAGTTCAGAGGAAATTTGCGAATCAATAAAAGTAGGTGCACTTCGTATAATAGTTAATATCAACGTCTCGTGTGCCGCCGGGATTCCGAAGACCCTGTTTATCTTTCCCCTCTTAATGGGGCTGTGTAGTGAATCTCCAAGGATTTGCCCAGAACGCCGAGGATCTTTAGTCAAATTCCAGGCAATTTGCAACGAGCGGTTTTGTTGAAAACAAGCCAAGTATGTACCAGAGGGATGTATAATATCCACTTGAGAAAGTCAGAGCTATCGTAAAGTAAAATATAATATCCTGAAATGATCCAGGGTGTGGCCACTTTTATTACCGACAAGAGACACAGCCCCCTTTGGCGGTAATGTAATCTTTGATAGCTGGAACAGGGGCTCCGTCCCATATACAGAGAAGGATAGTATTATGGCGAACTTCATAGGCATCCATAGCGAAAGCCGAGGAATGTACGCGCCGGTGTTATTCTCAAACTCGAGCCCGACTTCTTCATGCTACGAAGTACTCCATGCAAGCTAAATTCTGTGATCAGCCATCGAATAGCGTTACGCCAAGTGCAGGTATCCAATGTGAGGGCGTTAAAATAAAATTGGGTTTGTCGTTGTGGAGAGGCCAAAACCGCTGCGCCTCGATTCTTTGCAAATGACCACCCAATCAGCTGGCGGAAAATGATTTTCACCTCGATACATACTATGGATGTACCTAATGATTTTTGATGGGCGCAAGTAAGGAGGCCATACTCATCGCATCATGGGGCTTGGCTATCGCTGTTCTGGGAGACGGGGAAGTGTCCACCTGAGCGGCTAGACTGTGCGCATCATGACCATGCGACTGTGGAAATCTATGGAGGCACATGACTCAAAATGATTTGGTTTCGCCAGCCACTTATCCGCAGTCATTGGTAACTTGATATTGGTATCCGGGGGAAAGGAGGCGTGGAGAACAAGGAAGTGAGCTCACCTTGTGGCGTAATTGTGGCGGTGCGTTTGAATGGGTGGCGGTGCGCCTCATACTATGACGGGAGCCTCGTGAGCTCTAGTAGAACCTGGGGGGCAAGAAACATCACCAGCTTGGTGGTGAAAGGGCAGTGCAATAGGTGGCAGCGATAATGGGTGATTTCGCTTCAAGGCAAGGCTACTCCGAGGCTCTTGAGTAGGCAGAAGACCTCGTACTTCAACACAGCACCCGAGGAACTGACAGTGGCTGTAAAAAGGAAACACGATCTAAATTTGGTCTTAGAACGCGTAAAGGCAGATAAGGTTGAGAGATGCTAATGCTTTCACATACGTTCCTACCAAGCCTCATTTGACACGAATGCTGAATAGACCGCTTCAAATGTACGCCATCGATGTTCAGCCTCTTCGACCATTTGACGCCTGAAGTCTGGTATATTTGGAAGTGAGGTTGGTTTGTAAAGCATTCGAATACATTGATCTGTTTTGACTCGTTGGGCATATAGAAAGGAATGTCTAATCCAACTGTTTCACCGAGCTTGCCACATGGTCAGCATGCATAGCCACCTAGACAGAATTCGCTGAGGCAAGAGTTACACGGCTGATGAGTACCTGGGCACTCCTGCTCATCTACATGTAGTAAGCAGTCCAAAACCTGAGTGATTTCTCAGCCAGCAGCCATATAGATGGCAGATCACAAGGTTTCATGTATGAAGCTCGATGGTTTTAGATTACATTGATTATCCGAGCTGATACTTACCGTCAGGTCTTGACTCATTCACGTAGTCATTCATACTATAAAAGAACCAAAAATATATCCACAATGACAAACATACATTCAGGATAAGTGGGAAGAGTAAGTGAAATTAATTTAAACAAGAAGTAAGAGAAAAGGAGCAAAAGAGAAGAGAAAGAGGGGGGTATCAATGATGAAAAAGGAAAATACAACAAAATGACAATCAAAGACAGGAAATGCGCTTTACAGCACAAAGTAGAATCAAACAGAAAATATTAACAATAAAAAAAAGGCACAATCGGGGCTTGGCCCCGGAGTCCGATCTCAAGGCCAGCACCCCACCCATCACTTCATTTCTATCATTTCACATGTCCCATATCACATTGACAATTACGGATCAATAACCTCAGTGAAGCGGCTGCTTCGACTCCCGTCGAAACTATGCAGACTGCGGCCGAGCGCATCCGGTCGGGGCGCGAAAGGGACTGCGCTCTGGGGTTGCGCAACGGGATGGGCAGGTGTGATAGTGATCGGGGTAGAAACGTTGACCGAACTGGAGATAGGGAGATGCACGGGGTTGGAGCGTAAGGGTGGGGTGTGTTCTTCGACCTCGCGGGTGTATTTTGAGTCTAGGGGCATGCCGCCATATTGTGAGGTTGGGGGCGGAGCATAGGAGGGTGATCCCATTGGTCCCGTTGCTGAAGACGTGGGAGTAAAGCCTGGGATAGTGGGGGAATCGCCGTCTAGTCCACCGCCATAGCCGTCGCCACCGTGCGTGAAGACGGGAGGGAGCTTTCTGCCGGAAATCTTTTGGAATCCGCGTTCGCTGGGGACAGAGTTGACGGTGCTACCGGAGCGCGTTGTTGCCGTTGACTGGCGCCATTTCTTCATGAATGCGGGGGCGAAGTATGAGGCTGTGAAGAGGGGGTCGTTGCTTTCGCGCCGTTCGGCAACATCTCGAGGCCCGGCCCCTGCTCCTGCTGCCGCGTCACCTAACATAGTGGGACGTCCTATTTTGCCCATAAAGAATCCTCGGCGGCGGAGGTAGTAGAATAGAAGGAAAAGAATGAGAGCGAGGCCGGCAACTGATCCTACTACACCGCCCACAATTTTAGATGTCTCGGGATCGATTGTCGGATCCCCCGATGCGTTTGTTTCACTTGTGGTTGGCGCGGATCCGGTAGCAGTCGTTGAGCCAGTTGACTCAGCACCTCCATATACACCCGTCGAAGAAGTTGCGTAGTCTGTGCTAGAGGTTGGGCTCGTTGAGTGGCCGGAACTGGCAGTGGAGCCAGAACTGGAGCTGTAGCTGAGGTCAGAACTGGAGTCGGAGCTAGAACCGGAATATGACCACTGGTTGTGCGCCTGGGTTGAGGTTGAGGTTGAGGTTGACAGTGACAGTGATATTGACGTTGACATTGACGTTGTCGTTGTCGTAACAGAGGGCATAGAGCTAGGAGGACCGACTCGTGGAGTCGGATTCCATCCAGGCGATATGATGACTGTTGCTGAGGTATGTCTTAATGCTGATGTAAGTTGACTCGTGGAGTTTGTGGTGGTCAAAGAAGTTTGAGTTGAGATCGTGGAGTTGCTTGAAACTGATGTTTCGGGTAGTGACGAAGATGTTGGCTGGGTAGCAGGAGAGGGCGTCGGCGAGGTCAATAACCCTAAGTCTATAGGGATACTTGCACTTGCAGTCGCAGTCGCAGTCAAGCTGCCCGGGCCCGGCGGAATATAACTAGCATCCGTAGAATCCGTTGTCGTCATCGGCAAGTCAGTACCGGTCGATTGGAAGAGGGTGTGTGAGCTAGCATCGACTATCTGCAATACAGTCTCAATAGGAGTCGGGTCGGCGGAGGTCGTCTCGTCCCGCTTTTCAAGCAATGGATCAGATTCATTCACGGCATGCTCAAGACACAACGAGTTTCTCGAGTCACAACTTTCATCCGGAAGTATAACAGCGGGGAGGATGGGATGTTGAAATGGATCATCCTCAAGTAAATCAGAGCCCGCATCTTCATCAACGGCCGCGCGGCGCCTGGCGCTGATTAGCTTGTCGATGCGCGAGTGACGGTGATGACCATGAGCCATGTTGACAATTTTTCCATACACGTGTACGTCTGGCGATCACATGCAATGGGATGTCAAGACAAAGTAGCAGAAAAAAAGATGTATCGTTGATCCTCACAGAGGTTGAGCTTAGCGAAGGATGGGACTGATAAGGTTAAAGTCGGCAAACGTAGACGTGAATGTAAACGAAAGGAAAACACGCTCTAGCATGAGCACAGTTGGAGTGGAAAGATTGATAGATCGGACTGAGAAAGGAATGACCCGGTCGACAATATGAAAGAATGGATGTTCGCAAAAGCGTAGCATAAATAGCTTTCCAAGGATATTGTATACGGCGCACAGTTACGCGGAGGGAATGACAATCGTACCAACGACTGAGCAGAGTTAGTATGAATTCAATTGGAGAAGCCCCCAAGTGTAAGCAAACAGATGGCTCCACGGACTCGAATTGATACACACATACCTGGAGTAAAAGAGTGACAAAAAAAAAGAGCGGAATAAAAAAAAAAAGAGAGGCCAGTCTCACTTCCTAATCCATTGTGTTCTTTGGATATCTGGATCCAAAAGAAATATCGAGTGTTTAATATGTCGAGAGAGTAAGCAGGTCGGGATTGACAGCTTCAGGGTCGTATGGTCACACTCTCGGCACAATTTTGAGTGTCAAGAGGGGAAGACAAAATGCAAAGCAAGACGCAAAAAATTGACTAAAATAGAAATCAAAATAGAAAGCAGAAAGCGAGACACACGAAAGAGAAGCGAAACGGGAAAATGATGGAAAGACCCAGACCGGACCCAGCAATCCCCTATCGAGGTCTAGTCTAGGCGACCCGTGTTGACGAACTAGGCTCGGGGGCCGGCAGATTCTTTCTTTTTTTCTCCTTTGAATTTAGAAAGAAGTTTCTTGAATTTTCGATGTCAAGAAGAGAACAAAAAAACCAAAACAAAAGCCAGTTCTCTCAACGCAGGTACCGCCAGGTACCGCAACGAATAGCAAGTGACAGGGCCCAGATGAGGTTCTAGCCAAGGATACTAATCTACTTTGGGATTAGTCCACCATGCAGGTTTAATTATCACCAGTTTAGCGTTAAATGGACTTTACGTAGGCAAGGGCTACATGCAGATACATAAAGAATTGAAAGATATTATGTTTTCGACTCTCATGAGTTCAAATATTTTCATATTTCTCAAATAATGTGTCCACCTAATCCCATCGTACGTTGTACTAAAGGAGAATCATGTGCCGATCCATTCTCCATAAAAAACCTATTTTAAGCCTAAGTATCAGACCACTCTGGAAAAATAGGTATGCATTTGTGACTCCATATCTACGTGCTCGGCTCGTCTTATTTGACAATGCAAAGAGAATAGAAGACGCGGGGGTATTAGTAACGGGTCTTTCCTCCTCTCCCAGAACTCATTTCACCTAAAAAGTCTCGAGCTCGTCGGCCGCACCCTCCTCTCCTTCAGCGGGAATCTCAAAGCCGTCCTGTGGGGAGCGCATAAGCGTCAGTTGGGGGAATCCTCAGCGAAATAGGTCTAGGGAACGCACCTCGGTCGAGTATAGAATGCCCTGGATGTGCTTAACAAGCGTATCTTCCTCCTTTTCGAGCTCGGGGTCGGCTTCAATGGCGCTCTGGAGCAGCAGCTCAATATCGCGCAACTTGGCAAAGTAGAAGTCACGCTCCTTCTCCAACCCTGCGATAGCTTCCTTCTGTGTCGAGACCTCCTGTTGTAGGGCAGCCACCGCTGCTCCACTGGCCGCGCCGACGGCAACGCGGGGACGGACGCCGCCAGTTGTTGGGGTCACTCCACGGCGTGCGCTGCTGGCAGATGGGGCGCGTGAAGCGGGGGCGCCACCGACGGAAGCAGGGGCGCCGGACGCCTTGCGTCGACCGACGGAATCGTATTCACCACCGGGGTAGTGCTGGTCCCAGTATTTCTTAACCCATTGGAGGAACTCAAGGTTGTCCTGCATGCGGCACTTTGTAAGGGATTGGACGGGGATAGGTTTGTTGACCTGGTGACGGGCGAAGACATCTGGGTGATTGAACATGTTAAAAGGGAATCGTTGGCCGGTTTGGAATCCGCCTTCACATACTCTGAAGAACTTTGAAGTTCTGAAGGTAAGCATATTCAGTGTTGACGTTGAACTTGACCCGGGACATAGGAACATCCACTGAACAAAAAAATTAACCAGTCAGTATTTGTTCCACCACTACGGGACCGTCTCTCTCAATTGTTGCGCAAGTCGTGGTGAGTACATACTGAAAATCGAATCGAAGATCTGGCAGAGGGCAGCACTATAGACAAGATAAGAGGTTAGCACATCTTGATCTATACAAAAAAAAAGATCGCCCCGCGGGCCCTTTGAAGTTGGAGAGAAGATTGATCAACCATACCCGGTTCCACACTGCTCAATCTTGGTGAGATTCAGCTGCAGCAGGTTATTAAGCCATGCCAGCAATTCCTGTCTAACAAAACATAAATTGATCAGCGTCAGTAAGCCCATATTGGTCGCGAGAGGGCGGGGAATAGGAGAAAAGCCGAACCTGGATTCACCCATGATGGTGGGGTAGAGTAGATATCAATGGAAACGCTAAAGCGGGAAATGAGACTGAGATGAGCGCTAAGCGGAAAATGAGCTTAATGAAGATATTACACCGCAAGTCCAGGACTTCTTGTAGTCTCTGCTTTGTGGTTGATAGGAAACAGCAGAGGGATTGTTTTGATGCTAAATCCCACGGATCACACTGGCGCTAGCCCACCTTTTCTGGCGAATCACAGATCGATTAGTTAATCAATGACTTTACGCCTGAGGTGTCGGGCTCTACATGAGGTATCACATCGTAGGTTGAGATATTATCTCGGTGCATGAAACTATTACATCGTCAAGTGAGGTACAGTTCCACCGTAACAGATCAAATCTCATATATCAAGTCTCTCGTCATGCTATCACTTAGGATATTAAGTTGTTAGCTCATGCATTACTACTCAACACTTGACCGCGGCTGCTACCGCCTTTTCCGCCGCCATATTTGACCAGCAGAAATGGTCGATCTATATCTTGTAGTGCCTTGTCGCCTCAGGCGACGACCAAACGCACACAAGACATTGGAAATTGAGGTTATTATCGCGATACAAGGTACAAGATATAAGAATATATATATATATATATATGTATGCTAGGTATATAATTGTGCACTGATGCTATGCAAGTAAGAATAACAAAGAAGAGCAAGAATCTATTCTGCCATATTGCAGGGCCTGGTCCAATTTGTACCATGACGAGGAACCTCATATCCAACTCCCAATCCTAGCAATATACATGTATGTAATAATAATGACCAAACAAATCCACAAGGAGAAAGTAGCAATGCTGAGAAGAACAAGCTATATATAGATAAATGCAAATACATCACTCCTCTAACAGGTCGATCCCGTCTAGACCATATCCAAAGTCAATAATAACAGCCCGGGAATCCTGGCTCGTCGCAACAATGCGTCTATAATCGGACTGCACACTCAACATCCAGCTTGTGGTCCAGCCGGGGAAGTTGATGGACAGATCACCCGTATCACGATCGAACACCTTGACGCTCATGTCATAGCTACCGCTGACGATGCGCTTGTTTGCGCTGTCGAGATGCAGAGATCGGATGAGGCCCGAATGTCCATGGAGCTCGTTGACGAGCTCGCCCGTGTTGGCATCGAATTGATAAATTATGCGGTCGTTGCCGCCAGTGAGGATGGTCCGGCCATCGTCACTGAATTCGACACACGCAAGGCCACGGTCCTTGCTGGTGAACTCCTTGACACATTGGCCTGAGATCACGTTCCACATCTTGGCCACACCGTCGCCGCTGGCTGATACTATAAGGTCACCGCGTAGCTGTACGGCATTCACTGGCCCTTGGTGGCCGTTGAGCTGTCTCAAAAGCTCACCGGTGTTTCGGTCCCACACACAGATGGTGGTATCCTTGGAGCATGAGACAATATATCGGTCATCAAAGCACACATCGAGCACACCGGCATGGTGGCCGGAAAGACGACGAATCGGTCGGTAGTCGTCCTTAATGTCATACACGATACAGGTGAAGTCTGAAGAGCCCGTGACCATGATCTCCTCGTCAAACTGCAGGCACAGGATTGATGCACTGTGATATATCGATTCTTCCTCCAATGGTGCGGTAATTTCCGCTGTCTCATCCGGGGTGGGCCACGGCGGGGTGATAGTCACGAAGGGAGAGCTCCCCGTAGCCAGGGAAGTTGGACTGTTCACTGGACCACGGCGGAAAGTCCGGGCTGCAGGTGGCCCAATAATCTTCTTGCATGACCACGGATAGTGTGCGTCCCACACACGAACAGTTCGATCACGGGAGCCAGTAATGATTTTGTTCCTACAAACTTGTTAGCAGTGCACGGTACCAACAGCTCAGTGGTAACTTACTCGTCGAATTGAGAACAATAGACGCTGTCCTCGTGACCTTGAAGATAAATGGCTGCAGCCTTGCCATCCGTCCAGCGCTGATCGAGAGCGCGCCGAACAAGGAACTTCTTCTTCCAGTCCTGATTTGGGATTGACTTGCCTAAGCCAGATGACAGTTTCACCTTGGAGGTCGTCTCGCTTGCTGGCCGTCGGCCATATGAATTGCGGAATACGTGCCTCCAAACATGAGAAGAGGACGCACCATACCAAGTGCGAGACACGAGCTCCGCGTTCATGAGGGAATCAGGATCTAAATATGAAAGAATGTGTGACGTAATCTCAGCCGGAAGCATAGCCACGGGATCTAAGAAAAAAGAAAGAGATTAGCAAAACACACGTGCTGCCCATCACGGAGTTCGTCCTTACCGAGTCGCATGACGCCCAGCAAATCGGCGTCTGACACATCCGATCGATCGCGCAGGTCGATACAAATACCGCTCTCCGAGTCCTGCGGAACCCTCATATCGAGCATTTTGTTCTCCAGTTCCGCCTTAGCTACCCGTGCAGCCTCCCTTTGCTCATTCTGCGCTGCAGCTGCGGCACGCGCCGCACCCCCGGACAGGTGATTCGGCAGAACTGGAGGTGCCTGTCGCCCACGGCCGGTGGGGGCATAGAAACTCTGTAGGGCAGACACACTATTCAAAGAAGGGCGCCGATTGACACTGTAAGTCTGCTGGCTGTATCCCTGGTGCCAATGGGTTTTAGTTGACCGTGCATCCCAGCTACCGGATGCCATGCGTTTATGGCTCGAAATAGGGTTATAGTGACAGTCTTCATCTTCACCAAGGAATTTGATGTCCTCGGTGACAGGGAGTGTTTGCTTGGAAGGCTTGTTGCGAAGACTGACGGACAGGCGGCGGCCAAGAGCAACCAAACCATCCACGGGATGCTTTAAACTCGAAAAGCTTTTGGCACCACGGCGCCGCGGCGCCGCATTCGGGAACGGGTCGATCTCTTCCACGACCGGTGCGTGGTCGCCCTGGCATATTTCCATCACGTATGGCTCCTCCCATGTATCCAAAGCAAGCTCTTTGGACATCGGGGCTGCATGACCAGCAGTGCGTGGGCGTGAACGAAACGACAACGAGGAGCGTCGCCTGGTGGAGGTGGCGTTGGTCTCTCGTGGCGACATGACCGAGGTTGTTGATGTGTCGAGGGCAAATTCAACAACAATTGGATGAATGTGATTGCCGGTATGTGCTGGCGGTTGCTAAAACAAAGAAAGGCAAGGCTTTTTGTGACTCCGTTCTATTTATCGTTCGACCGATCTCACGTTTTGATCTTGGGGGCTCTGTAAGATAAATCTAACAAAGTGTATATATCAACCGTTCGCGAACTCCAAGGACCCAAGGGAATAAAAAAAAAAGAGAAGAAGAATTAATGAATGAACTTTAGAGAGAGAATAACAAAAAAAAAAAAAAAACGAAGGCGCAAGGAGAAGATAAAAGGGCGGAAGAATTCCAGAAAGCAGAACGGATCTGAGTTATCGGGCGGTGAATTTGGGAGGAGTGATTGGTTCGATTTTCAAGTTACCGAGAAGTCACTGATACTAGCATCATTGTAGTAATCTACTATAAAAATCATGTACCCATTACTTTTAGAGTACTCACCCCTGCATGGTTCAGAATTTTAAGGATCGGGGGCAAATCCTGGGGGAACCGGAAGTGCGGAGTAACTGTGACTTGGATCGTCACAATAATCTATTGCGGACCAAAGTACCATCTACTCCTTCGTCCGGTGGCAATTACGCTGTTAAGTTCTTTCCTTATTGAGACAATGATAATGATAGGCTTTCTTTTTTTTTTTTAAGGCTGATGCTAATATTGGAAACATACCTAAATGCAGTCCAATCTGAATTGGGTGTTCGACCGCTTTGTATACTTCTTGCAGCCGGATTCGCTTCGGGGAATGTGGCACATGGGAGCGATCAATACTAGTATTGGAAATAAAAATAATATTTTTTAATTTCTTTAATTTCTTCAGAAAACTTCCTCGATATGAATAAACACTCCTAACCCCCCTTCCCAGCCTTCTACCCCCTTGGTTTTGTTGACCCCGACTATATACTAATTCTCAATACTGATGACATCTCTTCATCCGAAGATCTTCTCATATCCGGTCAGGGTGAACCGGTAGTGAACATCACCCTTCTTCATGCGCAGCATGGCCTCCTTAAGTCCCTCCTCCGAGATGGGGATCTCCTCCACCCAACCCTTAAGACCCTGATCGGCAGCCAGCTGCAACATATCAAGCATCTCCCGACGGCTACCCAGGTGGCTAGCACCGATGAGAACACCATTAGAGATAAGGTTCTGGGCCTTAATGACCTGACCCTCCTCCTCAGGAAGACCAACACTAATCCAGCGTCCATGAACATCCATCATGGACAGATAGCGCGCAAGATCGAAACCCTCGGAGGAGTTAGCACAGTTGATAATCAAATCAAATGAGCACAGATGATCCTTCTCCCATCCCTCCTCAGCAGTAGCAATGTAACCATCAGCACCGAGCTTGAGAGCATCCGCCTCCTTAGCGCGAGAACGCGAAATAGCCCACGTTTCCGCACCCAGCGCCTTGGCAAACATGATTCCAAAGTGACCAATGCCACCCAGTCCAACAATTCCAACCTTCTTGCCAGGACCAGCACCATTGCGCACCAAGGGAGAGTAAGCAGTCAGACCGGCGCACAGCATCGGGGCAACCGCGTTAGTCTCGAGTGCATCCGGGATGGGGAACACCCAGTGCTCGTGTGTCCGCACGTGAGATGAGTATCCACCCTGGCTAACGATGCCACTGTCGGCCCACTTTGAGCCGTAGGTGTCCATAGGCTCAACCTGGCAGTATGTCTCGTTGTCGTTGCGGCACTGCTTGCACTTGCCGCAGGAGTAGGACTGCGCGCCGACTCCAACACGCTCTCCTTCCTTAATCAGAGTGACCTTGGGTCCGACACGGATTGCCCGACCGACGATCTCTAGAATGGCCATTAGCATGGGACAATAGCTTTTTTTTTTGTTCTCCTTGTAAATACGTACCGTGACCCACGCACAGAGGGAACTTTTGATCACCCCATCCTCCTATAGGAATATATTAGCCGGTGTTTCTGCTTGGTATTTCAACGGAATCACCATACCGCTGATAGTGTGGACATCACTGCCGCAAATGCCACAGGCCTCAATCTTAACGTCGACATCTATACTCGGTTAGAATCGGGAAGAAACACAGTGGCACAGGCTAACTCACCATAGTCGCCAAAAGGCTTCAGCTTGAACTATTTCAATCAATCTAGGTAAGCGCATATTCTAATCGGCACACAGAAAAGAGCACATACGTGACGCTTGTGGAACTGGGTGAAGCTGTTAGGTCCATCGACCTGGAAGCCCTCGGCTTCTTCGGGGTAAGGCATTGTGCTAATGAGTGATTGGTCTTTAAGACTTTCAACTATGTATTCTCTCAGATACAGCAAAGAAGTATACACGAGAGAACCAAAAAGAGTAAGAAAAGAAAAGTAGAAACCAGGACACAAGCGGGGATGGAGGGGGTATATCAACGCTACTAAAATTTAGACCCTTACGAGCGGGGATAAAACATTCCCTGATTCTTCCTTCGCGGGATATAGTTTCAAATCCATGGCACTCTGGGCACGTACTGTTACCGTTCACAGCCGCTTCCCCCCGTCGGACATCGTCCCGTGGACCCGCTTCACCGGGAAAACTGACAACCGAGGGGAATCAGAGTGTAGATTCGGAATTCGATTATCGACCGAAAGGCGAATACGATGAAAAGAGTATGGGAGCGTGGGGTGATTTGTTCTATTTGGTGGGGTAGGATTCTAATAACATCCATGCTACGTTGATAACGTCAGGGCCCGTCTAGTGGACGGGTTCTCGTATCAACTCCGATTTAGTAGTTTTTCCACCTATGAGCTTGCGAGGGCAAATTAATATCCTGGACCTCTTATCAACGATAAGAAGTGGGATGATATAGGGCTTTGGCTTAGGGCTTGGGCTTTACATGGGTGTCTGGGTATTTTAAGAGAAGTAGCAACTACGGTTGAAAACAGAAATTCCCACACCCTTGGGATACTGGAAAGTGTGACAGCTCCCTTCAACGATGTTTGCCTGTAATAACTGGACATGGACGACGTCACGAACATCCACAACAGCACGCGCCATGTGGGGGGATTTGATGCCTTGTACAATAGTTTCGAGTAGTCCGTTGGTATTTAATAACACCTAATACTCTTTGGGCCAGCCGGACCGAGAATCAAGAATGGATGAATGTTGACGATACCGAACCTAGGATTTGTCTCTTTTGCCCCCACTTCCTGCTATCTCAGAGACCATATAGGCGTGTACTCGAAATTGGCGCGCATCATCATTACTGCTACAGATCGAATTTATTGTCAAGGGCAAGCAAGTATAAATCTCGTCATATCAATGAGCCATTCAAAGCTATATTGGGGCGGTAGAGTTAAACGAAGGTTCCACATATAGACATAGTTGTTGTGATCTTAAACCTGAGTGGTGAAATGATGGTCAAAAGGCCACGCCCAACGAAGCAGCGAGTGCATCACGTCGTAGTATTTCTCCTCGTCAATCGGGTCCATATAACCGTTCAAGGTTGACAACCGAACTTGGATAAATTCTATAAAATCTAACACCGGAGTGAATTGAACTTGAAACCTACCATCAAAGTAACCGTACAGTACACGGGCACAGCATTTCTGGTCGAACACTACGATCATGGTCTATAAGTACTTGTCAAGGCCTAATCAAGACCCTTACTAATTGAATTTCTTATATTCATGGTAAAAACCGCACCCGTCGTCACAGTTACGCACTGTCTGCTGCCTGATGGCATACCAAATCCAAGAGCCTACTAGACTTCTATAGGTTTAGACCAGGGGCTATGGGTGATATTTAGGGCAAAGTACCTTGAAAAAGCGGGTCTGATTTTGCTCGAAAGCAATGCGGATTCACGACTGGCTAGCCTCCCCCAGAAGTTCATCGATGGTTGTGTTTTGAGAGAGAGAGAGAGAGAGATATCTACTACAGGGTCGTGGCCATGGTTATCGTGAAACGAAGTAGTACTTAGGTTCGAAAGTGAATATCGCTCGAAAGTTTGTCTATTCAGATCTTTCAAATTCCAGAACTTGACGCCTTGCACCATTGTACCCGTTAACTACAGTTCCTATCGCCGTATATGACATTTCCGAGCCCATGGAAATTGTCCTCTCGGTACACACCCGTGTATAGCTTATGTCGGCATGATGTACCAGTTTCGCTATGCCACTGAGGCTGATATGCCAGCTTTGTGCAGTATCAACTATGTTAGTTTCAAGTCTATAGTTATCATATTTAGGTGGCTGAGAAGAATAACTCCTTGAGAGGTGATCATGCTATGTAAGGCTTGAAAGGTTGAATTAACATACTAAGCCCTAACTAGAAGCCCATCCATTTCCTTGGGCTGTTTCAGTTCTCAGTGGACATACTCCGGCGTGAAATTAGGAATAAAGTATATTTTATAGAACTATGCCAGTTTGGGAAAGAGGGTTCCAAAGGAACTTGAATGATGCAGCTGTTACGCTGTATGACGCCTTAGGTCATGTTGGCCTCTGGCCTTATCACACATAACACCCGTCTACCCTAGACAGAGCCATTCAAGAAGTCCCATGACACTAGTCTAAGGGATTACGAGGTGCTAAAAGATAAGCTGCAACAAAAAGCGAGGTCATGAAACTTGATATATGCATTGGAATTATATTACTAGACTTTAGATGTAGCTTTTTGCCATATTTCCAAGCCATTATGCCACATCGGGCAAGCTCAATTCCACATCCATAGCAGTCTTGATCTTATCAGCAACAGTCTGGTACTGCTCATCAGTAAGACGGCTGAGAGGTCGGCGGGGGAACCCGCCGTAACCGTAGTATGACTGGATAGCACCCTTAGTGCCAGGAATGGAGGCCTTTGTGAGAACCCAGTCGGCAGCACTGAGTTGCTGCTGGGCCTCGATGGCCTCTGTGAGACGGCCCTCGGACCAGAGAGTGAAAATGCGAACACACAGACGGGGAAGGACGTTCGCGCCACCGGCAAGAATAGCAGAGCCACCGGAGATGAGGGTCTGCAGACTGAAGTCGGCAATACCGCCGAAAGCGACGTATGGGTGCTTGGCGTTGGGCTTGGAGACTGTTGCGGTACGCTCGGCCGGAGCCAAGGGGGAGGAGGGGGTGATGGCGCCGAGAGCGGTAGCGACACGAGTCAGCTTGCCGGTATTGGCACAAGTGAACTTAGTGCCGACGATGTTAGGGTGTTCGGAGATACGGATGATGAGGTCAGAGTCCATGTCAATGCCAGCGACGGCACCGGGGTAGTTGTAAAGGATAATAGGAACGGGGGAGCCGTCGGCAACGGCTGTGAAGTATTCGTATAAAGTTTCATCGTTGCCGACTGCGGCGCGGTAGTAGCTGGGGGGCACGATCAGAACGTACTCGCCCCCAGAAGCTGCGACCTCCTTGCACAGATCGATGGTTCCGCGGATACTGTTCTCGCTGGCACCAGCAATGACAGGAACGTTGGAGAAGCCAGCTTCATCGAGAGCAGAACGGGTTTCCCGGGTGACGGTCATGCGCTCTTCGCGGCTGAGATGCACGGCCTCGCCGTTTGAGCCCATGGTAACCAGACCGACAAGACCGGCTTTTGCCAGACGCACAGCGTGGCGGCGAATGGAAGCGATGTCGAGCTCTTCGGTCTCGGCATCGAAGAAGGTCATTGTCGGCGCATAAACGCCAGGGCGGAGTGGAGTGAAAGACATGATTCTGTTTCTGTGAGTTTGATGTTGACTGATTTTTTTACTGAATAACCTACTTGGAATTTGAGAGGTATATAATTAAAACCTCATCGTCACTTGGCTTATGGACTTCTCCCCCACGTCGGCGAATGGTCCGAGGCACTTTGTATGGCGGAGAATTATATTCCACCAATCAGCCCAAAGCACATAGAATGTGGGGGAGACATGGAGACATGAGGGGTAAAAGACGGGTAAACGCGCAATTCAGCCGGCCATTTGAGAAGGGAGTCTGGCATTTCAAGAGGCAATTGAGACGAGAAGTATCAATAGTTAGTGTATATATATATATCTATCTCGAAAGGAAGAATGAGGTGGAAAAGAAAACAAATGGCAACCTTGGAAACCCATGACCCGATAAGATACGGCTATTGAGTTGGCGTTTCAAACGCCGGAAGAATTATATCCAGCAATTCAACAACCCGGCTTTCTTTTTTTCTCTGTGGATTATCTTAAATTTCCCTTTCTCCCCAGGAATCCCCAGAAATCCCCCGGAATTCAATCAAAATCTCGGAATTCACAGACATCATGGCTCCTCCTAGCGTTTTGATGGTATGCATAATGATTCCCCGCAAGAGATCCCAAGCTAACTAACTCACAGGTTGGCACTGGTGAATACACCACCGGCTTCGTCGGTGGTAGTGCATCTGGCTCAGATAAGAAGGTCGGTGTAGTAGGCCTCAGTCTATTTGACCTGCGCCGGCGAGGCAAGGTGAGCGACCTGAGCATGGTGGGTGTGTCGGGCAAGAAGTTCCCCGGTATCCGTAAGTTGGGCGAAAGAACAAGCAAGCAAAACAGGAAGCTAATCACTAGAACAGGTGACCACTTGCACCGTAACATCTCTCAAGTCTACAACAACCTCGATACTTCATTCACCTCGTTCCCCGCGGACGACCAGACCGACCCCGACGCATACAAGACCGCCATCGATGCCCTCCCCAAAGGATCCGCCATCACCATCTTCACTCCCGATTCCACCCACTATCCCATTGCACTGTATGCAATTGAGCGCGGCATTCACGTGCTCATCACTAAGCCAGCCACCCAGCGGCTAGGAGACCACCTAGCCCTGGTTGAAGCCGCGCGCAAGCACGGCGTATTCGTCTTCATTGAGCACCACAAGCGCTTTGACCCTGCATACTCTGATGCGCGGGCCAAGGCGAAGACCCTTGGTGACTTCAACTACTTTTATAGTTACATGAGCCAGCCTAAGAGCCAGCTCGAGACCTTCAAGGCCTGGGCTGGTCGTGATTCCGATATTTCTTACTACCTCAACTCTCACCACATTGATATCTGCGAGAGCATGGTACCGGATTACAAGCCTGTGCGGGTCACAGCAACTGCTTCTCAGGGTACTGCTGCTGCGCTTGGATGTGTCCCCGAGACTGAGGACACCATTACACTCCTGGTGGAGTGGCGCCGCCGTGATAACCCCGCGAAGATTGCCACTGGTGTCTATACTGCTAGCTGGACGGCACCTCAAAATGCGGGTGTTCACTCCAACCAGTACTTCCACTGTATGTTATTCGATTATCCAGCAGTTATAGACACACCTCTTCTAACACATTGGAACAGATATGGCCGCCAATGGCGAGATCCGCGTTAACCAGGCCAAGCGTGGCTATGAAGTGACCGGTGACGAGCAGGGTCTAGTGCATTTCAACCCGTAAGTGCCCTATCGAGGATATTGTTGTACCATGGCTCCATACTGACTGCAATATACTAGATTCTATATGCGCTACGCTCCCGATGAAGAAGGAAACTTCAGTGGACAGACTGGATACGGCTACATCAGCTTCGAGAAGTTCATAGATGCTGTCACAGCTGTCAACGAGGGCCGTGTAACCCTCGATCAATTGGATGCCCGCCCGCTGCCCACTCTGCGCAATACGATCGCCACAACAGCAATCCTCGATGCAGGACGCAAGTCACTGGATGAGAGACGGCCTGTGGAGATTGTCTCCGAAGGCGACAAGTGGGAGCTGCAGTAAAGACGATGTAAATGAATTTATGTTATACCAATCAGAAGTGTATTGTTTCCAAAATGTCCCTCGTATATAGATTATGGCCCCCAACCCTCGTCATGTGAAAGCTCTAGCCCTGATAGCCAGCAACGCCGCAACTTTGAAGTAGTAAGCAGCTGAAAACGAGCCCAACTTCAATCCAGCCTTGCGCTTTTGAATTTATCATCCCCCTCCGCCCCGCTAGTTATATCCATCAAACTAAATCATTCAGAATGATGCGCCGAAAAGAGGTTTATATCAATATCACACCCATCCCCTCATCCGTACCTCGCCAGCTAGCCCTCGACATCCTACACAGCCACAGCGAAATAATCACACTAAACCCACTCGTCATCTCACATCAGCCAGTTAAGGCTCCACGCGATGCCGTCGCCGACGAGTACTACTCAACATGGTATGAGATTACCGAACGAGTACAATACCTCCCAGGTCTAGGCAAGATGGGCTCCGGCAAGATCAGTTTCAAAGGCTGTTTCCACAACGTCGAATGGGGACTAGAAACGCACATGTACGCACCGATGGGAATCGACCTCAAAAGCAAATGGCGCATTGCAGGCGACGAGCGCGACAAATCAGAACCGCGCGAGGAGCGCGAAGCCAGCGCCCCACAGACCGGGCTCTATCTGCGCGAGGATATCGAGATCGAATGCAACCGGACGCTAATTTCTTTCGTCAAGACTCAGTTAAAGGCTGCTTCGAAGGTGCTGGTAGATCGTTTGATTAAGAAAGCCGAGCTTCTGGATGCGGGTGTTTTGCAGGGTATGATGGAAGATGGGAAATTGACGACGTATAATCCGGCCGATCGATCGAGCAGAATTATGAGGGGAGCGTCGGTTGCGTCGCGGAGATCGGATCAAATGTCTATGTCGTCGTCTTCTTGGGCGCCGAGATCGCCGACGGAGTCGGTGCAGTTGGGATCGATGGCTCCTGGGTATGGCTCTCCGGTGCAATATGGACAGGACCACGGTAAAAGCTTTGCTGCGGAATTGCCGGCGGACTTTTATCATCCGCAGCCTGGATCTGATACATATCAAGAGTTGCCGGATACCAGTCGGTATTCGAAACCAACACGGTTGGATAAGGGGTATGCTGAGCTAGCTGCTATGGAAGAGACTTCGGAGGAGCGTAGTGAAGGGGTATATTTGAAAGGAACTTGAGCGAGATAATTTCATAGGCAGGCAAGTGGATTCCAGGGCTGGCGTTTCCACTTAGAATGATCTGCTCGATCTTCAAGACTATTAGGGACAATAGCGCGGCCCCAGGCATCCCAAATACCACACATGAGCATCTCTTTCTGTTCCTTTTCCTCGTCACCACTGCGATGGGATTGCAATAGTGACATTAATCAGGCCGACAACTACGGTTGGGTTGGCCCTGGGGCCATCCGGGAGTTTAAAATATCACAATGCTTCCAAGGTTGATAAACATGGGATGATTTGATAGATAGAAAAAGGGTGGAAACCCAGAAAGCTATATGGTAGTGAGTGGTACACGAATGGAAAAACAAAATAGCAACGCATTTGGTGGTATCATGCAAGAAACATCATTCAAATCCAATTAACGTCGCGAGCTCCCCTTGATGATCCCATCCTCCCCCTTATGTAGCTTTACACGGCATTGGGGACAATACCACTTGGCCGTGCGAGAGGGGACTTCAGTCAGACCCACGCAGTTAAGATGGAACCATTCACGGTCACACTGCAAAGTAGAATATTAGTATTCTGCTGGAACGTGTCATAATATGGATAACTTACATCCTGATTCTCGCAGCAGATCATTGTTCCAAAACTAACATCTCCACAGAGACAGTATCGGGGCTCATTGGCGTCGATCTGCTCTAGGACGCCGTCTTCGTCTACACGGACATCCTGGGAGTCGCGGATGCTGAGACGCTTCTTTCCAGGCTTCGCTTTGCGACGCCCGTAGCTTACTGCTGCGCCGCCATCTTGGCCAGTGGAAATGGGGCCTGGTGCTGGGCGCTTGCGTCGGCGGACCGGGGCGGTAACGCTTGGCGCATTTGACGACTCGCGGATGGGTGTTTTGTGTGCAGGTGTTGCGCTTTTTATGCGGCGATCGCGTCCACTTGCTGCTATTGCGGTCGGGATGGTATTGAGGGTCGCCCCTTCAATTGAGGCAGCGGCCGCAGAGCGCCGTGAAGATGGCCGAGTGACGGGTGGTGTGGGAGTAGTGACAGGTTTGACAAGGGGTAGGTTAGATTGTCCGGAGCTTGTAGGGCTGAGGGGGAGGAGGGGAAGGTTTGGCCTCGGCTGCGGGGGACATGTTAATTTTGATTGGGACAATGAGGTCGTTGTTGGTTTCTGCGGCTGGAATGGCTCCTCGGCTGGATCTGCGCCGAGACGGGCCAGCCCTGGTAGAGGGCGCAGGGACAGGGGTGGACGGTACGACCGGAGCAGCAACTGGTGCAGGTTTGGGGGGCTCGGGAGCCACAAGTTCTGTCGCTCCGAGGATAACCTCTTCCCGTTTCCTCTTCCGTGATGCTCGATTCGCGGGTGGGGCTGCTTGGGCTGGGGTTGACAAAGGCCTGGACAAAACACTACCTTCGCCTTCCATCAATGCTTGTTCACGGGCCAATTGTTCGCGTTTCAACTTCTTTGCTTCGTTAAGTTTCATTCCGCGATTGCTCAATTTCGTCTCCTCCAGGTCTTTGGCAGCCTCCCCGCGCCGGGTTTCTTCAATATTATCACAGTCAATGAACTCCTCACCCGTCTCTTCTGCCAGGGCCTTCGCTGTACGGTATGCTTCCCAACCGCGATTTGCCAGGGCCAGCTCACGGTGGATCATTACTTCGCTTGGCTGCCACACAGCATTCTTTTTCATCTTCTTCCGGAGCCTGGTCATCTCCCATTCCGTCAATCGCAGCCATGGCAGGTCCTCGCTGCCTAATTTTGCATCAGCTGGCGGTGGTTTCAACTGCGCAAGGGCCTGGGCTGTCGACTGTCCGATACCCGAGCTCAAGCGACGTGCTTTCTCCTTCTTTGGGGGTCGAGCGGGTTTGGGGGCAGATTTAATGAGTTCGCTCTCCAAGTCCGATTGCTCAGTACTGGCAAGTGGAGAGTCTGGGTCAAAAGCGCCATCAGCACCTAGCATACGCCTCCTATTTTTGTCTCTCCGATTGCGATTGCTATCCAACCGAAGGGTGATACGCGTCGTGGCATCCTTGTTGGTCTTCTTACCTCCGCGCGCGCGCTTCGGTGTAGGTTCAGGTGGGGGCGACGGTTCCGCCGATGCAGGTTTCGGCAGTGCTTCGAGTTTCTGACGGATGCAGCCTAATCGGTCGAAGTGGCGATCTACAACGTCGTAGAGGCGACAGGCCTCGGCATATGCCGATTCACGCGCATTGATGGCACGATCGATCTGAGAGGATATATCTTTGCGCAGCGCAATTGGGCTCGGTCGGGTATCTGAAGGAAGGTCTGGGAGCTGACCGTAGACCTGAGTGAGCTGGTGGACCGCTTGCGCCGAGTCGAGGTATCGATCATCGAGGCCGCGGATGAGGGTCAAGGAGCGAATTAAGTCCGCGGGGAGGTATTCGGTGTAGTCGATAAAGTCTGTGACAGTAGCCTGCGCGTCAGGGTCGAAGGGGCCATCTAGGATAACCCCTCCGCTGTCGTCTGTCTCGTCGGTCATGGGCATGTTTGATGCCTAGCACAATGGTGGTGGATGTTGATGGGTTGCGGGGGCTCTGGGCCTTGAAATGCAATGGTTGTTAAGATATGCCAAGTTCACTGAGATTCTGCGATGATAAATGCGGACATCGAGGGGTCTCAGCGTCCGATAACAGACGTAGCTCGGCGCCTTGCTGCACGAGGTCCTAAACACAGCGGATGATAGTTATTCCAGTCCCATCTGGGGAGCTCCCAGTCACGTGAATATAAGTCATACCTAGTTAACTAACGAGTCCTATTAGTTACTAGCTGAATTTCAAGATATAAATTTGAAGTTCTCTTGCAAATAGTTAAGATATGAAAGCCTCATAATAAGAGGCAATCTCGAGCTTGACGAATACTTGGTTCTGTCTCAAACCTTCCCACGGAGTAGCTCGTTACATATTGGACTTACTATATCGATGGGTCTACATCCATCTATACTCACCTTGGCTTTTTTATTCAAGATTTAATTCAATTTCATTCGACTTTTTCAAGTCAAACTCAAGTATCATGTGCCTATTCCTCTGTCAGATAGTCAGATAAAAAGGTGAAGTAATTTCACATTGAGATCATTGTCAATTACCGGATAGCAACCTGCCTCTATGGATGTACATATACCACTGTGTGTAACAGCTTATGAGATAGCAGAACGAGAAGAAACAGACAGATGCATTTGTCTCTTGGTTCCTATAGAATCATCTGTAATACGACTATAAAATCCATCATGAATTATCTTGTAGGTACTTTCCATGTAGAAACCCACTTCCACCTGCAAGAGATCTCCCTGAACAAGCAAACTCCATTGTTTCCCGGGTTCCTTCGCTCCTTCCCAAAATCGCTATTTCCTATTTGTGAACTTCAATCCGAACAGCCCGCCGTGTGTTTCTCGCCGTGCGTTTCTCGCCGCGCGTTTGTTTACTTTTCTTTTTCCCTTTTCTCTGCATCTCACATCTTCGATTTTGTTGACAGCGTTCATCTGCGTCGTTCAAAATGGATGTTCGTGAGCGTCTGAAGATGCTCCTTGAAGGAGATCCAAGTCTCAAAGATTTGAACACCAACCTGAACAAGGCCCAACCCGTTCAGCCTGCCCAGCCTGCCCGGGGTCCGGATGGAGTTGACAGGGTAGACGAATCCAACAAAGATAAGCAAGCCGTAAGTGGATATGCTCTTCCCGTTGACTTTGAGCCCGAACATGGTATGGAGTATCCTGCGAGTGGCCAATTTCCTTTGTCGTACATCCGTACCCATGTTGTTGGACAGCTAGTTGAGTCGGATGACGATTTGACCGAGATCGACCAGGATGATCGCACCCCCGGCCGTACTCCAAATATTCATCTTGATGTCTCGGCCTTGCTCAATGAGAGCGGCGATATTTCTGAAGAGGAGCCGGTCACTGCGATTCAGGTTCCAATCTCGTTCACTCCGGCGGTGACAATGGCCCACTACCCTTTCAAGTATCTTTATGGAGCGAACTTCAAGAGAGTTAATGGGCAGTTCTATGCGGGTAATAAGTTCTGGAATCGGACCTGGGACCTGTTTGTGAAATCTAGAATCAATTAGCAAAGTATATCAACGCTAACCCTCACCCAGGTATTACTTGCCTCTCCCAAAAACAATTTCTCAAGCCCCGTTTCTTCTGATTCCCACCTTACAAGCTCAAGCGCTACTCGATGAAATCAATTCGGCTCTGGATCTCAAATTGACTCTCACGGGCGTTAACATGGAAGGCCTTGTTATTGAAATCAACGATGAGAAACTGCCGCGGCCTCTGTACCTCGGCCAAAGCAGCACCTCTGATCGGAAGGCAAGATTGGAGAGTCGTGTTCCCTCGCCTTTGGAGAAGTGGGGACCCTGGGCACAGCTGGTCGAGCCCCATGTTCTGGAAGAATTTGAGAAGAAAGTCCGGCAGTCGATCGCGACAATCAAGAGTAAAAATCGCAACAAGCAGGCGGCCCGAGATGCCCAGATGAAAAAATTGCACGAGTCCCTAGCTCGTACGCAAGCCTACTTTGGTCTGCGTCCTGCTTTGCGGCCGAATGTTACACAGCCGTCGTTTGCCAATGGTCAGATCGACGCGATTGATGTTTTGAAGCCTGTCAAGTGGGCCTTTCAAGATGCCCCCATCTTCATCAGCGTTGATCTCGAGTGGATGGACCGTTACGGATGGCTGACCGAGGTTGGAATTTCGACTCTGGATATGATGGATTTGGAAGGTGTGGTTCCTGGTGATTATGGACAGATGTGGATGAAACAAGTTCGATCCCGCCACCTGCGTGTCACGGAGTACCGACACTGGGTCAACGATACTTTCACAACCGGATGTCCTGGTAATTTCCGATTCGGCGAAAGCGAGATGATTCCAGATGCTGAAATTGGGAAGGTTGTGGACGCTGCATTCCACCCTCCGTACATGGTTCCCTTGAAGGATGGGAAGATCCCCTCATACAAGAACCAGAAGCGCACTGTGATCTTGGTCGGTCTCGACCTCCATGGTGATATCTCGCATCTCCAGAGAGCGGGTAGCAAAGTCTTTAACAACCTGGATGGACCTTCTTCAGTCGTGCGTGAGACTCTCGACGTGGCAGAGCTATACCGTGTTGACACTGGGGAGAGCCAGAAGCGGGGCCTTCGAGCACTGCTGGGAATACTGAATATCTTGTGTGCAGACTTGCACAATGGGGGAAATGACGCGTACTTCACTTTGCACGCTCTTGTGCGACTGATGCTGAGAGTAGCTGGGGAGAAGCCGTGGGGATACGAGGATGGGGAGCCTAAGGTTGAGCCCAAGGATAATCCCGAGGTCACGATCAATCCCAAGGATAAACCCGATTTTGAATCTATGGCTGCTCGGTGTGAAAAAACCGATGTTAAAACCGACGATGCCCCCGTGTGGAGTCATTAAGATGTCCAACTGCAACGATTCTCCATTCGCGGAAGTGGGAGTGACGCAGTAGCTGGAGTCGGGAAGTCACGTCTGAGAATCGTTTGAATACCTCTCGTCGGATGCCTTTTTCAGGATGAATAGGCCCAGAGGCATGAATTTGTTTCAATTTGAGCAGAATGCGTGAGATCAAAAATGTGGAAAATACTTAAAAACAGGGGATGTATGGCTAGTTTTAGCCTTTTATGGTCTGAACAGAATGAAATCTCCGCTGATTTGATATCATTTTTTTGGTTCCAACATTAAACAATGTAATATTATACATGTATGTATACACGTAAGAATCAACTGTGAAAAGTAACTCTGCATATACTCCCGATGTTATGTCCCACTGACGACATATCATGTTCATCCCACTATCGCCCCCATCCCACAATCCCAATCTCCTATCTCCTCCCCCTCCACCAAACAGCAACCACAAACAACAACCTCCAACCCCCTAAAAATGTCAAGCCAAGGCCCCCTAACAGCCTTCCTGCTATCAAGAACCCCCAATGCCCTCAAACGCGCAACAACCCACCCCTTCCTCGCCTCCGCTGGCCACGGCACCCTGCCAAAATCCCAATTAAGCCAATGGCTCTCCCAAGACAGACTCTACGCCCAATCCTACATCCGCTTCATAGGCCTCCTCCTCTCAAAAATCCGTCTCCCAACACAAAACCCAACATCTCCAGGCCCACACATCCCAACACCAGAACACAACGCAATAACAGTCCTCATCGACGCCCTAGTCAACATCCGAACTGAACTCGCGTTCTTTGAAAAAACAGCAAATGACTACAACCTAGATCTAACAGCTATCTCTGCTGAAGAAGGTGGTTGCACGCTTACTTCTTGCGGCTTGGGATCGGATATTACTACCTCTGCTGGTATATCCACTAGTGGTTCTGGGAGTTGTCCGGGAATTGCGGGCGGCGAGGGCCAAGGGCCACCGCTGGGTAACGGGAACGGTGGTTGTCTTCCGTCGACGGACGAGACAAGCAGTGCGCCTGGCCACGGACTTTGTCTCAGTCAAGGAGAATGCCAGATGCCTTCTGGTGGGGAAGTCTGTGCGCCTGGCCCTCAGTTCAATCAGTCCGGACGGGGCGTGGAATCTGCTGCTGTTGGTGGGGATGTTGGAGGGAAAGTTGGTGCTCAGGGTGGTGAAGAGCCATGTGGGACTATTTTCTTCTGTGCGAACCGGACGACACGGGCTTATATTGATATGTTCATGTCTGCTGGGAGTAGCGGGGTCTCTATTTTGGAGGGGTTGGCTGTGCTGTGGGCTACGGAGGTTTGTTATCTTCGGTCTTGGAGGTTTGCGGCGGGGTGTATGGCTGAGGATGGGGAGAGGGATTATAGGAAGGATGCGGATGGGGGAGCGTTGAGGGAGAAGTTCATTGAGAATTGGGCTAGTGTTGAGTTTGAGGGGTTTGTTGATCGAATTGGAGATGTTGTTGATGAGATGGCGGGGCAGATTAAGGGGGCGGAGGAGTTGGAGATTATGCGGGGAAGGTGTTTGGAGTGGTGGAGGCAAATTGTTTGGTTGGAGGAGAATTTTTGGCCGAACATTGAATGAGGGATCTTATCTGATCAACTATAGATTAACTTTAAATGTACGATGTCTTTGCAGTTGAAAAATATTGTGAAATATAATACACCTGACTTGAAGCCCATACGTATAAGGCCATCTAGAAACGCAAAAAAGTAAGACAAAACTAACGCCATCCACAAACCCCCCCCCCTCCCCAGGAGAAATCAAATCATTCATACTCAAACTCCAATCTCTGCTCCCAAAACAATGACAATGTCATCGAGCAAACGTTCAAAAAACAAGTATAAAAATAACCAAAGCTGCCAACACCATTCGTAATGCGGAAACATGAAACATGAAACAAGTAGTAAAACACATGGACACAGTCTGTAAAGTGGACATGTTGTACATCATCGAAGTCAACATCAAGTAGCAGCCGCACGGGCAGCATTGCCTAGTTGTCGATGGTATGAGCCAATAGGCTCGAACCCCCTAGATATAGCATTAGTTCCTGCATGCCGATGGGTAAAAAGTCAACATAGCAAAGGAAACTTACCTAGCAAGATCAAAACCCGATCCATTATCATCGTCATCCTCCTCATTTCTCACATGAGATTTCCCATTAGGTCCCATATCCACCGAATCCGACTGAAGTGGCGGCAAAGTCCGACCAGAGCCAAGCCCATTCGACGTCCCAGGTTTGCTGGGACTAACGAGATTCGGCGGCGGTGGCGAACTACTCGGGAAGCCGCCGATAATTCGGTCCTCGACCTCGCCCTTCAAGGGACTCATGTCCGGTGGTGGGCGGGCAGGTGTACTCCCAATATCAGCAAACTTCCAGAACTGCGCGGGCGAGCTCATGGGCATGAACTTGGACGGGATTTGCGCTGTGCTTGGGGGCGGGAGACGGGGTTGTTGGCGTTGTGGGGCGGGGGTGATCATTGAAGAGGGTTCTTCGTTGTAGTAAGACGAGGAAAGGACTGGTGGGGACCCGGTTACGTTGTCGGACATGCCGTACGCGCGGGTCAGGTTGTTGCTGCTGTTTTGCACCTGGATGGAGATGCTGGAGTTGTGGTTGTGCGAGCGCGATGGGAGCGGCGAGGGTTCATCGTAGTCGCGTGGATTCATGTGTCGCAGTGGGTGGTCGGAGCCGAGGCCTCGACCGAGACGGGATCCTCGCTCTGGGGTGTATGCTTCCACTGGAGCTACGGGAAATGAGCTGAAACCTGGGGACGAAGCCGGGGGTGACTTTTTCGCTGTTGCTGAGAACGAGGTGTCGATTTTGGTAACGCGGGACCCGCGTGCGGATGACGGTGGCTCTTTTGTCGCCGGTGAGGACGGCGCAGATGACTGCGTGCCACCCTTGCGTGTTTGCTTCTTCCGGTACTCCTCCCGATACTCTACGGCGATCTGCCATTTCATACCCTTGCCCGGCTCGTCGGTCCGGCGGGGCACCTTCTGGAACGCCTTGTTCAGCGAGAGATTGTGGCGGATCGAATTTTGCCAGCCGCTTTGGGAGTGTCGATAGAAAGCGTATTTATCCATGATCCAATTGTAGATACTGTTCAGCGTGAGCTTCTCCTCCTCACTTGAGAAAATAGCCTGGGCAATCAGCGTTGCATAGCTGTACGGCGGCTTCAAATCCTTGGAGGAATCTTTGCTGTAATCGATCTCCTCTGTGCTCTCCATCATCATGCCTCGGTTGTAAAGCGGAGACTGTTTAGCCGTGCGCTGGCCAGCGGTATCAGGCGACCGCGGCGGGGGCGTCACCTGGCGCTTGAGGAACTTCGGAGCAGGCGCCAGCGAAGGCCCACCAGACGAAGATGGCGGCGCATCCTCGCCGTTCTGCGATGGCTGAGGATGGGCATGCTGCGAAGCATCCCAGGAAACCGAAGCCGGGTCGGGTTCCTGTCCGCTAGCAATGCGCTGGGCGCGCTCGATAAAGCTAGGGTGGATATTGGCTTCGTCGCCGGGGGTAACAAACATCATTTGTGTATTGGCCACCTCGATGATGTCGCCACATGAGAGAATCGCATCGGTGCCGCGCTTTATGATGCCATTATTCAAGCGCACACCGTTCCGACCATTGACACGAATATGCCAGGCAGGGGTCTCCTCGCCATCGTAGAAGATCTCGGCATGCAGTCTCGATACGAATTTGCTAGGGCCCAAGTCAACATGAACGTCTGGTAGCGCACGAGCCGCAATTGTGACGGGGCTGGACTGCTCCACAGCCCGTTGTTCGCGGTCCGGTTCGCGGCCGATATTGACATGCAGGGTTTTGACGTAATATGTCCAGTTGCGGCCGGCGATCTTAGCATACGCCTGGATGCGCTGCGTATTCTCGGTCTTGGTATTGGAGTGGTCGCGCGAGACGCGCAATTCCTCGCGGGGAGTATTCAAGTATGAAATCACTAGATCGACCAGGTCTTGATTGGTAGCAGGTTCGTGTTCGCCCGCCGAGTCCTCGGCTTCGTCGCCGGACTCATGTTTGACGTTTCGGGGAGGGGAGGCGCGGCGGTCAACCTGATCAGAAAAAAACGGGTCTTAGCTCCTGTTTGCACGGGGATATATTTGGTCTCAGACAAAACGCCCACTTGTTTCAACTCACCTTGCGCTTCTTTGCGGATGGCCGGCTGGGCGATGAGTCCGGAGCCTCTGCATCGGACGTTTCTTGCAGTTGAATTTCCTTGCGCCGCGCGCGGCGGCGGTTTGTAAGAGGCATATCTTATAGAAATCTGGGGTTCTTCTCCGGTATGATATATTGTAAAGTCGAAGTTGGCAGATTGGCAAATGATTATTTTTTTTTCCCGTTGCGTAGGCAATCAAGTCCGAGTCCAAGTACTCCACAAACAAGCGCGGGGCAGAGAGGGAAATATGGCAATCCGAAGGCAAAGGCAAAAAAACACATACAAAGAGAAAGTCAGCTCTTCCAAGGATTCGGAATTTCACCCCCAGAATCGGAAGACCGTTCAGAGGTAGAACCAGAGAACGAATAACGTCAGAGCATGGGTTTGCCACCACGGAAAGGAAAAAGGAAAAAAGAAAAGAAAGGCCGTTAGACTGTAAACAAGTCTAAGAAGGCTGGATCTCTTTTTTTTGGTCAAAAAACTCCCCCAATCGAAAGGTTGATATTGTGTGGCTGGATGTTATTATCGATAATCCCTAGGCCGATCGACACGCGCAATGGCGTCTGTTTGAGGTGACCGCCTTGTCGCGTAGCGTGTTAACACAACAACCAGCAAATATAGAAGAAAGCAGAGAAAGCAGAGAAAGCAGAGAAAGAGAGGGAGAATATAGGAAAATATAGAAGAGAAAACAAAGCGTACAAATAGGAAAAGAGAATGAAGATGGGATGACCGTAAACAGTTGGTGGAGTTGTGGTCATAACCGCGTATGTATACAGGGAAAGGTTACCGATAGGCGGAGATAGGGCCGAAATACCAATACCAGCACGTGCTCAGCGTGGGATTGGGATGTTTCCGAGTGCAGAGAGTGGGACTTCACATCTCTCTGCATTTGGATTTCTATATGTTCTTGTTCTATTATGTAGATATCCTACAGGTGTATCCTAATTCTTTATCTTCATACTTATGATGTCCATAGTCATGTACATAGCCATGTATAACACCTACCTCAATGACAATACTGATTTAACCTCTCCCTACATCCCCAGATTTGATCAAAATGAGATCTGCCCGTTTGCGTCACTCCCCGGATATGGATTAGCCTTGGGTTTGACATGTCGATCTAAAAGGACAGTAGCATCGAGATGTACCAAGGTTCTAGAGTCTTAAGATGCAAACAATTTCCGTAAATAAACAGTTCAATGTAGTCATACAAACTTAAGCTAAAACAGAAGACTTGTTGGAAAAAAAATTAAATCTTTGAAAATACCTAGGAAAAAAAGGGGGTGTAGAGCGGAAAATCAATAAACAAATGTCGTCACGGCGTGAAGCTATAGCTCAAGGCAGAATTTACTCAGGCATTTTCGAATCCCCATCCTCGTCCTCGTCCACAGCACGTAACGTAGGATAGAAGACTCCCTCACTTGCAGACTTGGCAGGCTCTTCCTTGGGCTGCTCAGAAGCGGCCCGTGCACTAGCAGTCTCGACTCCCTCCATAGCGTCAAGTCCTGGCGTAGGAGAAGCAGAGGACTGCACTCCATATCCAGTAGTAAGGCTATCAGCCTCGAGCAATTCAGAAACCAAGCGACGCAGGTTCTCAAGTAGACGGACCTTTTCAACCCAGGCAACGTTGACATCCCGCTCGGCGACTTCAGTAGCCGCTTGCGCAGTACGCTTGACAGCCTCCTGATCGGGATTAGAGGTACCCGACAGAGCAGGGTCAATCAGACTCTCCGAGATGTGAATAGCGGGAGTCTTGCTATCCTGTGAGGTGTCCATGCGGTCCTCGGTGACAGCACGCTCGGCCGGCCGGGCGCGTTGCAAGGTACCGCCAGTGTAGCGGCGACGGTCGTCGTGGTCATACGCGCCGCTCAGAGTTGAGGGTGGTGCAGCACCTGACGTGGTCGGGTAGCCTGCATTCATGCTATCGGCGACAGTGGCCGACGGCAAGCGGGGGTACATACCCGAGCCACTCTCATGAGGGGGCGACACGCGGTGAGCGTGGTGCATGGAGATGGGAGAGCGGTTGGAGGTATATGACTGAGCGCTGGAAGGCGGAGTCAGAGCTGGGGTGCCGACCGAGGGGGAGTGGGCCGAAGCAGCTCCCATGGAGGCAGAGGTTGCGGTAACGTGGCTTGGCGGGAGCTGGGTTGGAGGGGAGTGGGTAGCGCGATAGTTCATGCCACCATGCACGTAGTGTGCGCCGGGCTGGGCAACGCCGGCAGCCGCCACGTTCTCGTCGCTTTCGTATATAGTGTTCTGCATTTGCTCGAGGAACTGATCGATGTTGATCAAATCGTTCTTAGTACGAACATTGGACATGGGGGGAAGGTGGTAGCCAGGAGGGTGGGAACCACCAGGGCTGTAACCACCACCACCGCCGCCGCCGACCGCGACAGATGCAGGCATTTGCTGATATTCAGGCACTGGGCCATTGAGGAAGGGAAGCTGAAGCGCTTGCAGACCCAGCAGACGCTGGCCGACCGCGGCATAGGAATTAGGATCGAATTGGCGGCGCTTCAAGTCTCCAAAAAACTCATTCAACGCGTCATATCCACGCTTACGGTCATATGGGTGGTTTCCATCTTGCCCCTGGCTCAGGGCATAGTATACATTGCCGTAGGAATGCGGGTTGGGGGCCTGAGGTGGGGGGTGTGACTGGTAATACTGGGGAGGTGGCGCGTGTGGATATTGGCCATTGATGCCGTTGATCGGGCTCTCGAAGTAATGTGCTGCGGCAGCATAACCCTTAGGGTTTGGGGGGAACATCATATCGGGATGTTTCATCCCCGGTTCGGGTGAGCGGATCTCGGAGTCGTCCGCATGGGTCTTGACATGCTTCTTCAAATCCTGGGGGCGCTTGAAAGCCTTGCCGCAGAAGTCACACTTATGAGGCTTAAGTGGCACATGCACGCGGATGTGAGAGGTGATATGATCACGCTTGACTGTTGTGGTGTTGCAAGTACCCCACTGGCAGGTCAGGTTGAGGTTGTTGGTGCTTTTACGTCCAACATGGCGTTCGCAAACATGCTCCTATACAACAATTATTAGCATCTTATCAGACATTTTCATATTGTTTGATCAAACTTACATATAGAGATTCGGCAGTGGGGGACTTTTCAGTGCATCCGACCCACTGGCAAGGCAACTGCTCGCCGGCGCCGTTCATTGAGGGGCTATTCACCGCCGCGGTGGCGGCAGCAGCAGTCGCGGTGACGGAGGCGGAAGGGGTAGGGGTTGCTTGAATTGGCGCTGGTTCAGAAACCGGCGCAGGCAACGTCGCCTGAGTCGTAGACGGGGTGTGATTCTCCGACATGATGCCAAGAAATTTGATCTGAAGTTGGCGGAAAGCCTAGAGAACGAAAAGGAAAACAAACTAAGAAGATCAAATAGAGATGAACAACCTATATGTATATAAGGCGAGAGAGAAAGGGGGGGGGGGAATAAGTGAGAGAAAATGGGGCTTTCTCCGCAGAAGAGGAAAAGGAGCCGAGCCTTTGCCCAGAAAATACCGCTTTGCTAAGCCTGGCGGAAGGACAAGGAGAGAAGCGAACAGACCAAGACCGGGCCAAGAGTCGGTGCGGGCCCCAAGACCCGAGAGGCGTTGGCGCCATGGATTGTGACTGGTGGACCGAAGGGGGAACGAGGGGCTGTGTGTGTGAGCATTCCAGGGCTAACACGTAGCACAGTAGGGTACAGTACGGTATTTTAATATAATTTTATAGGTAATCCCGTATATAACTGGCCTTATAAGCGATTGTACATCCTAATACCCTAAATAAGTTTAGTGCAAACAATACCGTAAATTCAAGATAAATTTAATAGTTGAGGTTCTACAGAATATACCATGCGCTCTCTCCAGATATTCAATTTAAAATATAATTGAAGCTGATTGAAACCAAGTGGCGTGTTCATTACGCCAAGCCGACCTTCCAAGAAACATCCCATGGGCAATGCTTCTTGGCAGCCAAGTGATTCCTCTTGCCAATAATTCCCGCTCCGGGCACCAAGACTCAAGTCTTGGAGTCTTGGTATGACCAATTTCATATCCCTTTCGTATAAACTTTCTTGTGTGACAAGTCGCTTGATCAATCCGGCTGCCTGGTGCCCTTGTTGCGGCATGCATGAGTCGGTTTCAGATTCCGGAGTCATTACGGAGTACGGTATAGAGGCATTTACATGTAACCACACAGGTGTTCATATTCTATATGCTATATGCCACCTTCCATCTGTCTAATTTTATTATATCTGTAACCTTGGAAACATCTCCTGACACGTCAGACTACCCCTGATGTACAAATATACTTACCAAGCTCTTCAGAAGGGCTTAGCCCAAGCATTCCAGATGCTCCTTCGAACATGGCTTGGCCAGTGGCTTGGCCAGCCAAGCCCAAAACTACCATAACAGCCCACGTGCACGTTTCTGCCTCTCTGATCTCACCTTCCTAAGCGGTTCCTCCGCTTTGGCTGGTACCAACTCCACACATTCAATCCGACCTTCGTCCCCTTTGTAACAGGGAACGCAGCGTGCCAAGTCTCAGAATACCCCGTCCCATCCACCCGGAGATTCTCCCAAAACACAGCATTACCCTTGATAGGCTTGAATGTGATACCCATATTTCCCTTCCCTTTCCCATCTCCCTGCTCACACTCCAAAAACCGACACCATCCCTCCCCAGTCGGCATCCTCAACCGTGGGAAATTCGTCCCCCCACCCTCACAGTCCGCATCGAGATACACCATAAAGGTGCTGAACCGGTCTCCGCCCCGCGCCAACGACCCGGCCCAGTCATAGTGGTGGCGGTAGTGGCCGGAGGCATTATAGCGCTGCGCCCACATGCGCTCGATGTACAGGTCCGGATTCCAGCCCTGGAAGGCGCGGGCGCGGTCTTCCAGACAGCGGACAGTGTCGTCGCGGTCGAGGAGGGCACGGTCGGAGAGGCGTTTGTTTGGGTCTACTCGTTCGGTTTGACCGTCGTAGACGATTGAAGGGGTGTATTTGTTCACGCTGGGATACGGGGCAGGTTTGTTCCAGTTAGCTTGGTCTGTGGTTATTTTGTGTGTTATGGTATCCGTTGTTCTCGGGGTTTTTGGTTGCAGTTGAGATTGGTGATTTACCTCATGTCCAGGATGTGGTTTGCTTCGGTTTCGGAGATGAAGTTCTCGATGTAGATGATCAGCGGTTCGCGCGAGAGCAGATGCACGCTGTATCCCTCTACGCTAGGGCAGCTGAATGGTACGCCATCTTCAGGGCTGATGAAACTGTCGTCGGTAAGGTTGATTCCTGGTCCTGGTGCGTCGGACTCATCGAAGAGGTCGTCGCTGTCACCGGGTAGTGCCAGCAGGTCCGGGAAGAATCCGCGCACTAGCGGGTCGAGAATGAAGATATACACTGGGATCAAGTAGAGGGCCCAGGTGAAGACGGTGGAAAACTTTGGAAGTGACGCCATTCGAGTTTCGCTATAAATAGTCACGGGGGTATGCAGGCCAAGGAAATGTACAGGGGAGATTTGGGATTTTAGCTCTCCATGCGACTGGAACAGATAATCCCGGATGCTACGATTGATCTGTCTCTGGGTAGAGATGAAGGGCCATGGGCAAAGAAGAATATGATCAAGAAAGGGTGTAGCGCAGGGCCATCCTGCGGAGGAGAGATTCTGAACGTTTGAGATGAGGAGTGTCGAAATATGTGGGTCTAACAGATTATGGGCTAGCTCGCTATGAGTATGACTTCACAAAACATAATTGACAGGTTACGAGGTCGATGCTGGAGCAATTGATTCAAAATTACAAAGGATAAATGTATTGGTCCGGTTTGTTGAGTATGTACTTTGAGTAGACTTATGTTTGAGCCAAGCACAACCAGCTCTTCTCATGTGACGTATTTACTTGTATCGTTCCGATTTTCCACGTTTCACTCAACAATCGACATTCCAATCGCGAAACACACCCACGAAGCCAGATCGACAGTCCACGTACGCACACGATGAACAGTCAACCAGCCCTCGAGGTCCTTCGTCGACGAGCCCTTCGACGTGTCCTCAATGATAGCCTGGACCTTAGGCGCAACGGCAGGCACAAAGAGAAGGTGACTGGCGGCTAATATCGTGCCAGCAGTATACCAAGGCAGGGAAGCCGAGCTACCCAATCCCGACCGACGCTCCGTCCAGATATTATATCCACCTCCCGTCAAGGTCAGGGTGAGAAGAGTCAAAACGCGCACAGTACCAAAGCCGAAGAAGGCCCGGAAATAGGATGGCAGAATTTCATTGCTGTGGGTGCGGTGGTCCGGGTGGAGGAAGACCTTCAGGAAGAAGTCCTGGTCGAGCGAGTACCAGAGTGTACAGGTGGAGGTTATCAGTGGGGCGGTACGTAAGAGTGTACGGTGGTCAAAAATGAGTGTACGGGGGTCGAAAAAGAGTCCGGAGGCCATGATAGATGGAGAAGGTGATATATTGAGAGAATAATTACAGAGAGACAAGTTGCATTTGTAGCGTAAGTGTCAATGGATGATGTGGTGTTGAAGGATGAAAGTGAAGCCACCTTTCGGCGATTTCTCCGACTCTTTGCAGGGATTATAGACAAAGCGCCGAAAAGGTTAACATCAGGCAGAAACGTCAACATAGACCGACCTAGTTTAGTATTACTATTCGCGCTACCTCTTTTACGCTTGTCCTAGTCCTATTGTTGCTCTTGGTCTTCTAGTGTATGCTCACTGGCGAAATTGGACAATGACGCAGAAACGACTGCCATATGGCCTGGATGCCTCCATCATCTCCACTACCCTGCCGACAATTGGCTGGTTTGAGATACGGGGAGCTGTATATCTGAATGATCCACACGTATATGGCCTCCTCGGCCATCGGCCATCTTCTGGCCATCTTTGTAAAGTTGTGCATTCTAGTGACCTCGGCATAAATTAATACCATCATTTTGACAATTATGAAATTTCTATGAGCCAAGAATACTCAATTCCTTCTAGTGACATTGAGCCCCCAATAGAGATGCTGAACTGCCAGAAACGGTTAATCACTACCCAACTAGGCCTAGTCAGACGTTACACTATATATCGGAAGTCGCCGCATAGAAGAGTCTGACCAAATCCGCTGGGAGGAATGTGTAGACATCAGATTCATCATGGCATACAGAACAATAATACTTGCCAAGGTCAAATATTGTGCGTGCCATCAGACAAATATGACGCATGACAAGATCCTCGCCAAGGATGTGCCCGCTACGCTACAGTATACTCTGCACGCTTTTTTTATTGCTTAAAACGGTAATCTTCGTAAAACTTGAGAGGTCGGCTCTCAACTAAAGATTTGGTGTCAATTTGAACAGGGATAGGCTACAGCCATCTGTTAAGGAAGACGACAGGGGACAAGTCAAAGTGCATGGTGATTCCCAACACCACCACAGTTATCCCTATGCTTCCGACATGCTGACGACCATTCCACCGTTTCCGACACGCCTAGAACAAATCATCCTAGAAGCGTGTGTTTTGTGCAGTGAAACGGAGTAATTCATGTAAGAGGGTATAATTGGACAGCACTCGGTGAATGTCAGCAAAGGGAGAATATCCAGAAATCGCAGATACAGATATTGGTAGGTATGCGACATGGATGGCAAAGAGACAGGGAACCAAGGATGAAGGATAGAGCACAGGGCAAATCTCGGACTCTGGCTGCCACTGCTAATCCTGGTAAAGGTAATACGAGGCTACCAGAAGAACAATTGTATGTCCTTCGACAAATATATATAAACCACAGACATGTCAACCAAACCGAACAACCAACCCATCCAATTCCTCAGCAATCACTACTAAGATATATTCAATCTTCATGCATTTCTATCAAAACTTCCTGACTCTTTTGGCCTTTGGAGCCACCCTCGCAGCGGCGCAGACCCGGATGGTGTAAGCGACAACACCAGACCCTGGATGATTTCTTTTGTTAATGTGATATTAGACATGCTCCAAGTCCACTCAGCTGTGCACCTTGACTTCGGGCGGCCCAAGCGCCCTTATCGCGGTGTTGGCTTCCCCGGCTCATTCCCACGTAAGCCTTTTCTATTCGTAAACACACAATACCCATGATTGACAAGCGTCGCGCAGTATACCTCCGATGGAAGCGGCTGCACCGGTGCTAGTTACAATCCCGTTGCAGATCAATGCACCTAGCTGGGACGAGGTGTCTACTTCCGCGAGTCCAGGGTTCATGGTAGCTTTCAGGACTATGGAATTAGGCCTATCATTTTCGTCACTAATCGGTATTATACCCTAGTGACTTATAATGCTACTTGCAATTACGTTAGCCGCCAGTCTTTATATATTTATATCTCAGCTCATTTATGTTCAAGTACAGCGTCGTTAAAAGATGAGAGGACGCCCCAGGGCGTCCCAAAATCTTGTATATAGCTAATTGCAAAAGAAAAGCGGGACTCCTAACCTTCGAAACGCCTACCAGGTATCAACAGTTTTTACACCATTTTGGCTTTCATGATAGCATATCCTCGTAAAAATAAAAGCAAACAAATATGGTGAAACAGATCAAGCTCAAATGCTGTTGGCATTCATCCACTGAGTCCAATCATCAGCAGACGCCCCGTTGCCCGGTCGATAAGCGGTATTGTTGCCAAACAGATCATCAAAGGAGATCCCCAGATCCGTATTCATTCCCATATTCTCATCCATGCCCATTCCGAAATCAGGAACACCATTTAGTCCAGGTACCTCTTGCTGTTGCGGCGCAGACTCGGCTGCCATGTCATTTGGGTTATTGGGCTGGAAATTGTAACCCTGCCAGACGAAATTCTGGTTCGGGATTGAGACCAGGTCTGGGCTGTTGATCAATTCTGTCGGGGTCTGGCTCTGCGAGATTGGGGAGTGGATTCGGGATGAAGTTCGCGAGTGGGACGGGCGGAGGTGGCTTGGCACTGATGACTTGATCCCTGGGGCATTTGCGATGGGGAAATTCGGGATGTTTGTGAAATCATAGGTTGGAGTGGAGACCCCTGTGCTGGATGGATCGCCGGGTGTGGTGGGCCCCATGCCGGGTGCTGAATCGAAGGGATACTGCGATGGCATGCCTGCACGGTCGTGCCGGAAGTGATCATCTTCCAAGGTGGACATGGGTTGAGTTGGGTATGCGAATGGATCGTCCGAGGGGAACATCATTGGCATGAGATCTGGGAGATTGGACGGATTGGTGAATTGCTGAGCCCATGCAAGACTTGATGGCTCTTGATTGGGCATGGAGGGCGTCGAGGAAATATGTTCGGGAGTTGTCATGGTTTCCGTCAGCAGCTCGGGAGTGGTTGAAACCCATGCGGACTGGTGGCTAATATCAGTAGGGCGATTACTGATAGGCTGGGAATTGTCCAGGCTTCGTTGTCGGCGGTTCTGATCATCGGTAACAGCTGACTGGGGCATCATTTGTATAGGGAAAGTATTTGACCGATGTGGCAGCGTCTTCTCGAAGGTAGGCTTCAGCTCAGGCTCAACAGTGTTAGATGGCGCGGGCCGCTTGAGGTTGACAGGAGTCTTGGAGGTCTGGCGATTTTTCAACATCTCGGGTAACGTCTTGAAAAGGCACTGCAATATAATTAGTCAAAGCCATTCCAAAGTGAAGGCATGAGAACTTACGTTTAAGCTCTGAGAGCACCGGTCGGCGGCAAGACTCTTCTTGGCCAATCCGGCTAGAGTATTTTTGCCCTCCATGGCATCTTTCAGGACGCCATCTTTGGCTGTTGGCGAATCCGGGTTCTCAAGCACGAAGAAGATCAAGGAGAGGATAGCAAAATAGGTCGTATACATGGTGAACCAGAAGGATCCATTGAGTAGTCCTCTCTTTTGCATTCCGGTCGTGATGTGAACAATGTTTCGCGAAACGCTGACGCAGGCAGCTGCACAGGCATATGACCGCTTGTCCACACCACGCGCTTGAAAACCACCGGAGACATAGTGGAGGAACGGGCGGTACATGACCATCTGCACGTGAGCGTAGCTTATACGCAGCAATTGCCGGACACTAGTTACATGTTGGTTAAATTGATTCAAAGAGTACCGTAAACTTGAGACTTACCGTTCTAGTTGAGGCGACACTTCTGTGCCTGGTCGCAGAGCAGGAGGCAATTCCTCCATCCAATTTTGTAGATCTCGCTCGATCTCCCTAATTTTTGAGTGGCTAACCATGTATCGCTGGTCTGACTTGGAGCGATAGCGAGCATTCTTGACTGGGTAAATATATTTCACCACCTTCAGAATGATGTTGGAAAGACGAGTGTGTGCATTGCATCCAGCCATCAGCGGTGTATAGTTGGACGGAGGTTTAGTGATTCCCTCCGAAGTAATGAAATCACCATCAACCTCCATTGGGTACTCTTGATCGATATCGTCGTCACTCAGCATCTGGGGAAGACCCAAGAGCGTGCTCACGTAGACGTCCATCTTGCGGACGACCCAGAAGATGCGCTTTCGAAGTTCTCGTTCAATGGGGTTGAAGTCTGCCGCGACAGAGCGATGGAGACCTAATCGCAGTGCTGAACGAAGTGCAATTCCCACATAGGAGTAGCATGTGCTCAACTTTGCAGAGGATTGGAGGAAGAGAACCATAAAACAGATTGCTTGGAGAGAAGGCAAGTCGCGGCAGTCGGTAATCTCCAGCAGCTGCCGACCGGCCTTAAAGAATTGGAACCTGTCAAAAAAATTAGTTGGTGTCATCGATGCAGATTTACTATGACTTACCCTTGGCCTATTGCACCTTCGTAGCCAGACACATCCAAAGTACCCTGTCCTGATCCATCGTCCGAGAACAAGCAGCCAACGGCGATGACAATATATAAAAGCGGCAAGAAGGAATTCTCTTCGTTTGTGAATTGTTCCGGGGAAGTATCGTAGATGCGATCCAGACTTGCAAAGAAGGAGGGCTCATGGACAAATCGCATCAAGGAGCAGGCATGGTCGATCGCATTATGACACAAGCGGTGAGCAACCTCGCGCGGAGGCAGGTCATGTGTAGGAGGTAATGCTGTGTCTTGAGGCGACTCGGACATAGACTTTGGACTATCCAGCATATGCGCGGTTATCGAGGAGCGCGATCGTGCCATGGGGCCCGTAATATCTGTAGCGCCCAACTGTTTGCGTAATCGGCGAACAAAGAGAACACCCGAGGTGTGCCCGTGGTAATCCCAATGACCCTGGTCATCCCGATCTAAGCAGCCCGAATTATCGACCATGGTTTCAAGTAGTCCCTCGTCTCCCCCTTCTTGCGCTGTATCTTGTACAACCGCCGGTTTGACATCTTCGGTCGCTTGTTTTGCTTTTTGGGCGGCTGCGAATTTCTGTTCTGTCGCATGGACATCTAGTTGCGGGTCATCGAGATCGACATTTGGAAGAATAGATCGAAGCAGCGCTTCGGCTTTTTGGAGCCGATTTTCGAGGGCCTCGACATATTGCGGGGCGGGGTTTCGACGTCGGTTGGAAGGTTGGTCGTACGAGCAATCTACAATTAGACTGTTAGGACGCATGGACTTTTTTCGAGCTTAAAAATCAGGCTTTGCATACCATAACTATAGACCGTGCAATGAGTGCATGGCTGTTTGCCGTCGCACTTGATCTTTTTTCTGCGACATTCGTCGCATGCGCGACCGACTCGTCGCCTTTTCTGCGCAGGTAGTGATTTGGGGTCTGTGGGGGAAGCCTCATGGGTAGAAGTCTCATGGGGATCGTCATGCGAATATTTGAAGTCGTTCATGGGTGCGGGATCATCCTCATTCTCGCCAGAAGGAGGGCTCGTCGTAGTCGCCATGACTGGATATCTGAGGTGCGTAAAGTGCAAGTATTCATATAAAGACAAATAGTGGTCTTGGCGGGCGATCCGATGTGAATATCAGTTATCTCAACAAATGTCATGGATTGCTTTCGATTGCAAGATAAGCAGAAAGAGGAAAAAAGCCCTGGAGACAGTGGATACTGCAAAGTCTGACCGATTGAAAGTCCCACTTTGGAACAAGTAGAACATGTACTTCCGTACTCTGAGGAGGGGATCTCCCAAGGTTGAGGGGGAATGGAGATAATCCGAGATCAGCGATGATGAAATGATTATTCCCGAGAGCGGTGTGTGGAATATCAAAAGGCTTCAGGGAGTATAAGAACAACGTATCGAGAAAATAGACGACAAGTTGAAAATCAAAAGAGTTTAGTGTTTTTTTAATTTAGTCATATCGAGTCATATGCCTTACGACTGCCCAGGTGCCCAGCCAAGGTGGAGATCGGGGCTTCACTATGCGCGATGCCGACATACATAAAGCTCCATGTATATTATTGTTACTATTATTCCTTCTAGAAAAAAATTCCCTTCGGACTGAGGGAATTTTCAATTTCATGTCCAATAAGAATTTAAATAACTGTTAAGGCTATAGCCCGGTCTCCACTGCCTAATTTGCTTAGACTCGGCCTGACATATAGCAGGGTTCGGAACATTTTGGGGGAGTTGATACCTCATTCTTTTTAGAACGGCAGAAAAATCAAAATACTTGAATTACAATTACACATTAATGATCAAAGTACTAACCCCCTTCTCAACCGGTACAAGCACAGCCATTTATCAAAGACTAGAGCGCGATCTTTTCCAAACATCTACGTCGTCCGGCACAGCATCGGGCTCTTTGCACTTTCTACGCAGCTACTCTGATCATATCCACTTGCGCACATGGCTTCATCTCATTTAGGGCCAATTGGTGGGCTATCCAAAACAAATACCTAGAATCTAACAAAATACCCCAGTAATTTTCGAGAATGGCTGGCTGTTGTAGTGCATCTGCTTCCCACTTGTTTCGCAAGGTCCTGGGTTTGTCATCTACATGTGTTTGTATCAAGGGATCGCTGCACAATGGAGATTGATATGAAGAAATAAAGTGGATTCCTAAGTCTTAGGATGGATAAGAGGAGAAAGAGAAAGAGAAAGAGAAAGAGAGAGGGAGACGGAGGAGAGGCAGAGGGGGAGAATAGGAACTAGCTACTAATCTATAGTTGCTGTCATCATCTTGATCCCTTATGTCCCCCAGTATTGTATTCGGCAGTACACACTGGGCTTCCACAAATTCTTTCATCACCGCACCCCTGCTGGTTAGTATCTGAAAGCCGCCCCCAACATTTAGTCGGATCTCTGCCATTATGAGGAGAAGGAAAAGAGTCAAAGATCTGCTAGACAGGTGGACACGTGTATTAATAAATTACAATACATCGTATAGAGCGGTGTAGAAGACGGTGCTAAGTCAGTAAAAATGGGGTTGGAATACCGGTTCGTAGATCGGGGTTTCACTATGCGCGATGCCGACATACATAATTCCATGCATATTATTCCATATTGTTATTGTTCATTCTAGAAAGTTTCCCTTCTGACTGAGGCATTTTGGGGCAATCATTTTGGGGCAATTTAATGCATAAGACTTTGAATAACTAACCTAACTAGTTAGTTGACCGTTCTCAAGACTGCCCGGTCTCCACTGCCCGATTTGTCTTGACTCGGCCTACGCGGTATAGACACCAGCTACTGAAACCCCATTTCTAGTAAATATTGACTTGATTCTGTCATTTCTATAGCTACTTTTCTTAGCGATCTGTAAGAATAACATGGAAAGTGAAAACTAGATGTCCCGCAACATTAAATGAACTCCGCCGATCCTTCCATTTCAATGAGGTGTGACTGTATCATGCAAAATGTCCGATCGAAATCAAAATGAGCTCGGTGACGATCCAGAAAGTCTACCTCCCTCTGTTTGACGGTACAGGTATAAAGGAAAATATCACTTTTCTCGAGTATTTGCACTTGAACGTGAACGTCTAGCATCCGGCAGTATTAAAACAAAGTCAAAAATTGAGACCAATATATTACATTAATAAGACCACTCGGAGAGGTCACTTGATTACCTGCTCAGAGAAGTCTTAGATCTACCCAAGGAGCAAAAAGCGGCACTGAGCACTAGCGGAAGAGGAAATCTGGTTAGGCCGACTTTCTATCTTCTAAGATCTACTTTGAATGTTGTACCATTCGCGTCTCGCTTCCACATACTGGGCCATTTGAAATTTAAAGTGCAGCCTGTCGGGTAGGATATCAGGATCTTATTAACGGGGTCTCCTTGCTGTTTTCTCGATGTACCTACATGTACCTACATGTCGGAACTTGTGCGGACTAATCTTGCATACTAATCCTGCATACTCCTGCATACTAATCCTAGCAAAAGATGATCACCTGGAACTATTATCATCCTTCTATTTTCAGTTCGTATTATGACCTTAAATAACTATAAATCCATTTCTATGTTCCACGTAAAAGAAGCACATAGTACAAAATACAGAGCACAAACACAGTCCTGGACTCTTGGAACCCCTGCGCTGTCATCATGAAGGAGTCATGTAGAGGGGGTCTTCGAAACAAGGCAGCATGCGTCAAAATGCTTTGACAGCCCTGTGACGCGAGATATGGAGAATGCAAACATTGAATGACTTCACCCTATAATTGGGAGCCTTTGACAATCCGTTTTGAGGCTGCCCGAGGTTAGGGTTCACGACGAGCCTCATAGATTAATAGCCCTTTTGTATGCCAAGCTGCGTCATAATTGCTCACTATTAATTAAGCTATTAACTGTCTCCTCAAGTTATGTTAATCATATCATTCATGAAACGAACGATGACGATCCCTCGCATCCCGCATGGCATTCCATTCCCCCTGCAGCACGTCTCACTTTCCCCAAGGTGGATCGGCATGTATAACAACGCGACTTTCTCAACGCCTTATATGGATCGCCTCGTTCCTCTGATGCCAATTTTCACAGGCTATGGAGCCACGCGACACATGCTATGACTTTCTACCTCGTCACCTTCTGCTGCGCCTTCGCCGCGCTGGGATCATTCCTGTTCGGCTTTGATTCGGGCGTGATCTATTCCAGTATCGAGCAGGAGGCCTTTTTGCGCCAATTCGGTTCTCTAACCCTATCTGACACCGTCGCCGGGGTCATTATTTCCTCGTATATCGGTGAGACTCTATATTCGTCAGATCTTGCCGCGATCGGGATCTAATTTTCGTGATCAGGTGGCGCAATTGTGGGCTCGGTCCTCGTCCCGTATATTTCGGATTACTATGGCCGACGAATGGGCCTCTTCATCGGCGGTCTTCTTGCCGCTCTGGGTGCTAGCCTCCAGGGAGGCGCGATTAATACCGCGATGCTTATCGCCGGTCGATCTATCGCGGGTCTGGCAATTGGGCAGATGTCGGCTACTATTCCTGTTTATTGTGTAGGTCGAATACGCACGGCCCTGCTGCTAAGCTTTATCTGACGTGAGTCCAGAGCGAGGTCGCCCCGCCCCAGATTCGGGGGATGTTAGCTAGTATGCAACAATGGATGATTGGCTTGGGGTTCGTGGTTGCTGTGAGTAATCACCGCTGGGATTTTGTTATGATACAACTAACAGGGTTCAAGCAATGGGTGAGATACGGCTGCTCCCTTCGAGGTGGCGCCTTCGCCTGGCGGTTTCCACTCTCCTTCCAAGCTGCGCCAGCAATAATTCTCTGCTGTGGCATCTGGTTCCTTCCCGAATCGCCAAGATGGCTCATCGAAAAGGGCAGAGAGGGAGAAGGCCGCTCAGTACTCGCCCAGCTCCATCTCAACAAAAACGCAACCAACAGCCAACTACTCGAACATGAGCTCTTCCAAATCCAAGAGAGCCTAGCATCCGAGAAGCAATCCGCCGTACGATCCTGGCGCCAACTCCTCCGCTCCCCGCGCTGGCGACACAGGATCCTCCTAGCTTGCGGCTTGCAAGTATTCACCCAGTGCTCTGGCACAAACGTAATCTCAAGCTACGGCCCACAACTCTTCAAATCTCTCGGCCTTACAACATCAACATCCATCATGATAATGGGACTCTGGGGTGCGCTAGCGCTGTTCTGGAACACTGTATTCATGCTCTTCATCGACAAAGTCGGGCGCCGGAAACTGCTTATCCCATCACTACTCGGCATGGGAGCAGCCTTGTGCATCGAGGCCACGCTCGCGCGGTATATCGATTTCAGCGACCCAAATGCCAACCCACATGCGCTGCGAGCCGCCATCGCCATGTTCTTTGTCTTCTCATTCTTCTTCACTGCTCTCGGCATGATATCCTGGACCTACCAGTGTGAGATCTTCTCTACGCCCATTCGAGCGCGCGGCTCGTCGATGGCGACTGCCACGGACTGGAGTGTTAGTCTTATCTTCATGCAGTGCTCGCCTATCGCACTGAAGAGTATGGGGACCAATTATATTTATTGCTTTGTCGCGTTCAATTGGGCGGCGATGGTTGTTGTTTGGGCTTTTTATCCCGAGACTGCCGGTCATTCTCTTGAGGGGGCTGAGGAGGCTTTTGCAACACAGTTTCTTGATGAGCAGTCAGTGCGCTCTTTTGTTGTTGAGGATACTCCAGTGGCTATTACGCCGCGCTCGCAGATTCGGCATAAGGGGCTGCATCCGTTGTCGATGCATCCTACGTATGACACTGTTAGTGTCGGGAGCAGTCGCAGTGGATCTGAGGCTGAGATTGGAACCAAGGAGGTTTAGCTTGTATTTGTACGATATGTAATTTATGAAGAGACGAAATGAAGTCGAAGAAGCATTCACGAAGAAAATACCTTGTATTCTCAATGTGACTGCCCGTTGGGGCATAGGTGTCTCCAGTTATAGATCAAGTGAGGCACATAAATTTCACATATCAGCCGCGCATCAGCCGCACAAAGGTACTATATCATCCGCCCTAAAGGGTAATGGGAAACTAGCTTTTGGTAGAATAGTACATCTGTCTACTAAAACTTAGTTTTTGCTTCTGGCACGGTATCGTTTCTTCACGATGTCTCCGTTTTCTATTTCGGTCAACTGGTACCTCATGCGCATGTAATATGTCGGAGGAAAAGCTCATGTGACTAGAAAAAAGGTTCGACCCAAGTTGAGTCCCATGCCAACCAATGCCTTTTTGGGTATACAAGGACCCACGTCCGAAATAAGCAATTGGAACCATTAGCATCGCGAGACAGTTTGAAAGTATTTAAAACGGCAGAGAAAGTCTCAAAAAACCAAAAAGCCCCCAGTAATCCACTACCTTACGATGACAAACTCAACCACAACTCTAGCCTCCGGCAAAGATATGCCCCTCGTAGGCTTCAGCCTATGGAAAGTCCCAAAAGAGACAACCGCGGATACAGTATACAACGCCAGTACTATGCTAATCCCCAATTACATGTCCAATCAACTCTCAGTCTTTTTTTGAGTTGCCGCCTGCAGGTGTTGTTTGACGCGGGGCCTGTTAGGGTTGTTGCGGAGAAGTATGGTGTTTCATCTGCGAGGGTTTTGTTGAGGCGGGCTACGCAGAGGTGAATTTGCGGTTTCGTTGCTGATTTTTGAATGTAGGTGGACTGATGTTATTCCCAAGTCGAAAAAACGGACTCGTCTTGCTGAGAACTTGGATGTGGAATTGAGCCCCGGCTGTTGTGGTTTTTTACGGTCCAGGCTATGGAATGGGAGCATATGGATTTGAGTTGCATGGGCAAAGCGCGTGTGGAAATTTAGTATTCAATACTCTATACAATATATCTCTTCTACCTCTATGTGGCCGTCTATTTTTGTGTAGATCAAATCAAAACCCCTAGATCATAACTAGCAACAAATAGTTAACAGCAAGTCATACAAAACTCATAAAACATGTGGTAAAGGGCCGATATCGCTTAAATAGGCTCATCACGAGGCTCAACAAGGATCTCATTGAGAGAGACATGCTCAGGTTGAGTTAGGGCGTAAACAATGGAGTTGGCAACATCGGATGGATCGAGGATCTTCGCTCCGGATGGCTCTCCATATTTCTTGACGGCTTCAGTATCCGTCGACATGCCCAGCAGGTCTGTGGAAGTGTTGCCGGGCTGGATACTCGTCACACGCAAGCCGGCACCTGCGGTCTCGAGGCGAAGGGCTTGGAGGGTGGCCTCGACGAAGAACTTGCTTGCCGAGTACACACCGAGACCAGGGAAGACCTTACGTCCGGCGTCGGAGGAGATGGCGACGACATGGCCGCGGCCGCGCGAGAGCATACCAGGAACCGTTGAAGAGAGAGCGTGCAAGAGACCCTTGCAGTTGACATCGACTGTGCGCTCCCACTCGTCCATCTGTGTGTTTGCCATCATGGTGAAGTACATAACACCAGCGCATGCAACCAAGATGTCGACTGGACCGAGCTCCTCACTTGCTGCTTGGACGAGAGTGTCCACTTGAGTCTTGCTTGTGACGTCAGTTGATCGGAGGATACACTTGACGCCGTGAGCTTCAACCTTGCGCTTGGTGCTCTCGAGAGCATCCAGGCGTCGAGCGCCAAGGGCTACAGCACAACCCTGTTTGGCTAGGGCGGCTGCTACCGCCGCACCAATGCCCGAAGAAGCACCAGTCACCACAGCGACTTGGCCGCTGAGTGGCCCCTTCGCAACCTCTGTAGGCCGGTTGAGGGCATGCTGACGAGATGGTGCCCGGGGTAGCCATCCTCGAGCAAACCAATGCCGAGTGTAGGTCTCCAGCAACAGACTGTCCACCTTGGGACGCTCGACAACGGCCCGGAAAGGCCTGGTCAAAGCGTTATCAAGGACCACGATGTCTCGGAGGAACTCAACAGTTGGCATGCCACTGCGAAGAATGTCGACGGTAAACGAACCATCGCCACCCTTGGATGAGCCTCTCTTCTCGAACCACAGAGCGACCCACTCATCCCATGGAAGAGGTTGTGTGTCATAACCAAGCTCTTTGAGGTCCTCAAAGACCGATCGAGTATCGACCGGCGTAGGATCTCCGAGATGGAACACCGTTTGGTCTGTCTGAGTCTGAGTGGCAAGATGGACAATAGATTTGCTGACAAAGTTCACAGGGGTCATCTCGGCACGCCATCCTTCCACGTCTGGGGCGTACCCAAGCTGGATGGATTCCACGATCAATGCAGTGAGCAAATCCCACGCATTGGCGGAACCTGTGACACTGTGACCACTGATTGTACCACATCGGTGAATCTTGACTGGCAATCCACGCTCACCTGCCTTGAGAACGAGCTGCTCCGCAACCCACTTTGTCTGACCATAGCCATCGAGCAGCTTTTTAGGGACATCTTCCACATCTAGAGTGGTAGTTTCGGGCCAGCCATTCTGACCAGATGATGGCAAGACACCATTGGTAGAGACATACTGCACGGTCGCGCCACCCTTGGCGGCCAGACGAAGGATCTCTCTGGTTCCACCCACGTTTGCTCCCCTGAGTGCAGCGTAGGGGTAAACAAGGTTGACGGTGGCCGCAGCATGCACAATCACCTGGACACGAGCCGCGATGTTTTCGAATTCTTCCGGACCCAGACCAAGTCGAGGCCGAGAAAGATTACCTGGTAGGATTTCGAGGCGCTCCAGAATAGAATCGCGCCAGAGTCCCATGTCTAGGAGGTTCCTACGGATTCGAGCGACACCTCCGGCTTGATCATCCTGCTCGGGGTCGCTGAAACGCACAAGACAGATGATCTTGGCCGAGGTGCTCTCAATCAAATCATTGAGCAAGAAAGCGCCCAGGAAACCGGTCACACCAGTCAAAAGCACGGTGTCGGCCGAGGCGATTGAAGTGATCGCGGTATTTGTGGGCTTAATGTCCTCGTCCAGTGTGGCATCGGAAAGCAAGACTGCCGGCAGATTTGCTTGTACTTCTGCGGTGTGGCCATCTCTGACAGCACGCACAGTCTCCAAGTGCCCGGAAAGAGTAGTGTTCTCTGCGAGACGAGGAATAGGAACACGGAAGCCGAAACGTCTGGAAAGCTTGGATGACAGATCTGCCAGAGACAAAGAATGTCCGCCCAAATCGAAAAAATTATCTTCGGCCTTGAGCAGGCTCTTTGAGACTTTCAGAACAGCCTCCCAGATTGCCGCAATGTCACTGAGACCAATCGGGTCCTTCCCAGCGCTTTGCTCACTGCCATTAGGGCTGGAGCTACGAGGTGAAGGGAGGTTCTTCATGTCGACTTTGCCGGAGACCTCGTTAGTAGGCAACTGATCCAGTGCAACCCAGAGAGCTGGGATCATGTATTGCGCAAGACGGTTCTCAAGGACACGACGCGCGCTGGGGCTGTGGCCGGACTCGTTGATCACGACCGAAGGGCGATCGGAGGCAGCCTCTTTATCGGGGACAACATATGCGACCAGTTGTCGCTCCAGTCCATCGCCGTACGCAGTGACCACGCACTGACTGACGGCCAAGTACTGGCAGATGTCACTTTCGACCTTTGCCGGCACAACGGAATATCCGCGTAGCTTAATCATTGCGCCGACGCGGCCGGTGATTTCAAGGAACCCAGAAGGCAGCTTGCGGGCTAGATCGCCCGTTCTGTACATACGAGCACCGGGTGTAGAATCAAAGGTGTCCGGAGCGAAAGCCTTGGCGGTGGTCTCGGGGAGGTTGATGTATTCCCGAGCCAACAGAGGACCACCTATGAAGAGTTCTCCCGATGTGCCTTCCTCTACCTCCTGTCCATCCTCGTTGAGAACGTAGGTGTGTGAAGGAACAATCGATGGGCCGACTGGACAGTAAATAGAGTCGCCATCAACCATATCACGGATATCTCCGCAGGCAATCTCATGCGTTTCACACGCACTGTAGCAGTTGAGCAAGCGGGTATTGGGAAGAATTTTGATGGCCTTGCGGGCAAGATCAGTTGTCACCACTTCGCCGTTCAGCCAAATAATGCGCAAATCAGGCACACGAGTACCGAATCGGGGATAACGTGAAAGAACGGTAGCCAGAAGAGTGGGAGTCATGAGCGTTTCGGTGACCTTCTTAGCCGACAGCAGGTCAACCAGAGCCGCGGGGTCATAGCTCGTTTCGTCGGGTACGATGACCACCGTAGCTCCCCGTAGTAGCGGCCGCAACATCTCCCAGATGAAGAAGACATTACAGGCCACCCGATCCCCTGGCTGTACATCCTGCACTGCAAATCTCAGATCGTATGATAGTACCGGGGCGCGGTGTGGATTGGCGATTCCCTTTGGCTTTCCCGTTGTTCCTGACGAATAAGACACAAACGCCAAGCGGTCCAAATCGTCATCTGCCGGCAACGGAGAAGGTTCCTTGGCGTGTCCATTGATATCGGCAACGGGCGAATCCAAGGCAATTAGCGGCACCGGCGCTTTGATTTTGTCGGCTTCAGACTTGTGGGTGATAATCACGGCGGGGCTAGCATCCTCGATGACATCCGCCAAGAGGTCCGCGGGGTAAGCCAATTCGAGAACAAGGAAGGCACCGCCCGCACGGAGCACTGCTAGACAGGCAATCACGTAATGTGCGCTGCGAGGAAGGAGCACACCCACGAGGGTGTCGCGGCTCACTCCATAGGTTCGTAGGCGACTGGCAAGAGTCTCAACTTCTTGATCCAGCTGGGTATATGTGTATGTCGTGGTCTCATCTTCCAGGGCGATAGCATCTGGGGTTGCCTTCACCTGCCGCTTAAAGAGTGTGGGCAAATCCTTGGTAATGTCGAGGATAGCCATTTCGGTAGGGAGAATCACGCTATAGTCAAACGCTGCCGAAGTTCACTAAATAAGAGAAGGGAAATGAATGTAAAGTTGTGGTTATTGAAATCTGTACAATATCGAGAGAAAAAGCCGGGAAACCCAGAAATTTTGTTGAGATTCCAAGAGCTTCGAGAGCTAATGGAACCATTAACCTTCCCTGGGACACCGTCGCGTGGGGTTATCTCCACGAACGGGCTTATCGTACCTCCAGGTTTTCTCCCGACATCGTTTATGAGGTCTTATTTCAATTTACCTATATAGTTGTAGTGAAATATCCGGTTCATTATAGTTCAATTATCTCTCTATACTCTGTACTCATCCAAGATCATACCTTTCAACAATAATCAATCACATGTAATTTTGGCCCCCACCTAAATATTTGCATGTGAAAGTCCCCTTTCCCAACACTTTGGGTCCCCCTGAGAGCGTCATAGCTTTCAAGGTTTGTAATGTGGCGACTTAATAGCGTTTTAAAATAAATTTCTTATTAATGTCCCCTAAAAAACTGCTGTGGCGCCGATCTGGGCGCCGATATAGGTGTGAAAATCCCTGAAATCCAGGCACTCAAACGCACGGACCACTTTAGGCATCGGGCTGTTCTTCTCTACTTCTTGAATGTACTAACGGCATTGATATAAGAGGCAAACCTTTCCAAATATCTGTTAGGCCTCACCTTCAGGCACAACTTAAGGAACCTTGGTACGATCGGCGTTGTCTGACGCATACTTATGGAGCCCTTGACAAATCCATCAACAGAACCATTGGATAAAAAGATCAATCAGAACACCCATCTACATTTGCAAAAAAAAAAAAAAAGGTCTATCTTTATTGTCACCAAAAACATGTAGTCTGATACAATGTACCAACCCACGTGCCCACATGCCTACCTAGGATTAGTGGTACGGTACGGAACTTCCCGAGATCTTGCCTCCTGTACAAGCGATGCCTTCCAAGGTTTTCGCCCGTGGTTATCCATAGAGAACAGTGAAAGGTCGATATATTGACAGTACATGAATATTGACTGAATTCTGATGTTACATCATCTATGGAGTAATTTACAATAAATAGTTATAAAGCTGCTAGTGTACCTCCCACGTGTCCGCAATTTCCATTGGAAATTTGCACATCACTCGTGCCATCTTGAATATAAGCCGTGCCATAGTTAGAAGCTGCAGAGCACGTGCTTCCTGTAGTCATATAGCAGTAGGACGAAGACGCGAAATGTTAGGAAAAAGCGCAAGTGGGATTTACTATGCAGCTGACAGAGCAATCGTATGTAGAGTCGGTGTTACTAACTATGATATCTCGACCAGCGACATTGCTGAACAAGAGTGCATAGATGTATTTGCCTGCGAACGGGCGGTAGTCTGAAGAAAGAGGACTGCCAGCGATGTTGTTGGCGGCACAGGCAGCGTAGAAAGATGTGGTGGTTGTACCCGCCAGAACAGTAGTAGTGGAAGTGGTGGTACTCGTTTCACCGGGAGCAAACATTGTCTCGGTGATGGTTGAGGTGGTACTGAAGCTCAGTGTGGTGGAGACGTCCGAGGGAACAACCACCGAGCTGCTGGTGATAGTGGTGGTGATTGTCACTGTGGTGGTAGGAGTAACCGCAGTGGAGGTGATGGGTGATCCAATGACAATGGAGACAGTTGTGGCTTTGATGATGTTCTTCACATGACACACTACTGCTTGGGGATACTTCCAATCATCTAACCAGGGAGAGCAATCATCATTCTCTTCCAACGAGCGCTTGAAAGTAACAGAAGGCGGCAAAGTGTCTACAATTGGAGTAAAGCCTGCAGAAGTGGCAATGGTGGAGGTGCTGGTCGAGGTACTCAAGAAGACTTCGCCGACGGTTGTGGTGATTGGAGCAGGGGTCAGAGTCAATGCCGCAGTATCAAACTCAGTTGAAGTTGTTAAGAAGATATCGGTGATTGCATCAGCCGTAGAGGTAATGATAGTTGTTTCATAGCCTGTCACTATCTCGGTCGACACAGCGGGGGTGACCGTGACGGTTTCCAGAATTGTTGTGAGGACAACGACGGGTACGGGTATGAATCGTACGAGTGATAGTTGTGGTAGGCACAACCTTCACCGAGCTAGGTCCTAGCTCCGTGCGGCAAGTTGCTGTGGCCACAGGAACTTGACTACTAGCTGATGGAGAGCTGGCTGAAACTTAGCTGAGTAGAAGGCCTGCCGCGAGGGCAAAGTGACGAATGGTCATGTTTATATTTCACAAGATGCGCTTCAAATGATTCGGAGGATTACGTTTGATTGGAATATCCTCGCACTAGATACTTCTCCTTTTTGTGTTGGGTGGGAGTCTAGGCCGGCTATTTTCACCATGATGTACAAATCCAAGACAAGCTAGCACAAGCAAGCGAACGGAGGCGTTAATGGTGTCAATAGTTTAACTCAAATTTAAGAGAAAAACCAGGAACCGGATTCTTTTGCCTACGTTCGCTTAAGCTTTTCTTTTGTTGTTGTCGGCGTCTCTGTATTGCGAATATGGAAACCCTAAGCGACAATGTATATACGAAGACATTTCCTCTTCATCGCTTCATTTTTGACTTGAAATACTTACATTCTTTTTACGTTCCCAGTCCAACTATCAGTCAGTCATTTGTGGGTGTCAGATCACTCATTCTTTTTCGCTGCTATCTAATCATATTACTGTCAATCATTCAATCCTTTCGGCTACGGTCAATATGGGTTCCTTTCTTATTCGGGGATGGATTTTGGCCGCAATATTTGTCCAAACCAGTCTCGCCACGACAATTCTTGCCGAGCCTACTGTGACTCTCACTCCTGCTGCTGTGGGGACACACCATAAGCAGCATCATCATCACCATCACCGCTACCACAATCACCATCATTGGTCTTATATCCCTAGGCCTATGCCTAGTCGCAAGCCTTGCCCTGTTCGTTATTAATCAGCAGTTCTCGCTTCCAGCGTGATCTCTACTCCAACTTCGGCCCCTGTTCCTACTTTACTAAACCATCTGTTGTTGTATCTGCAACAGGCTCTCTTTCAACTGGGCCTTCGCAAGTGAGTGGTTCTCCTTCCCAAGGAGCAACCACTGGGATTGGATTATCTTCTTCACATGCCAGCATCTCGACATCTATCTCTGATAGTAGCACTACAACTGTCGCTTCTATGGCCACATCTACGGTCTTTTCTACCCGCACGGCTACCATCACCGCGTGCCCTATTACAGTCCCCAACTGTCCTGCCACTTCAAAGACAATATTTGTGGCTACAGAGACAATTTTGGTATCCACCACAATCTGCCCTGTGACTGAAACCACCGGCCCTACCCAGACAGCACCTGCTTCTCTATCCACTGGAAATGCTGGTGGCTCAGACCTTACAACTTCCATCGTCTATACCACTCGCACTGCCACCATTACCGCATGTCCATTTTCGGTGACCATTTGTCCCCTGAAATCAAAGCCCACACACGTAGTCATTGAAACCCTGGTTGTTTCCACGACGGTTTGCCCCGTAGCCGATGCTACTAATACCAACGGCGCTGTGCCTACTAAGCACACTGCACCTCCATCTGTCACTGAAGTAATTGGAGATGGTAACGCTTCTTCGCTGACGACATCTACTGTCTTCACTACTATCATATCCACCGTTCTTGCCTGCCCTGAATCTGTGACCGATTATCCTCTGAGATCAAAAACCTTCCATGCAACCACCGAGCCATTCGCTGTCGCAACTACTATCTACCCAGTCGCTGCAAACCCTCGAGCTACTGGCGTTACTCCCGGTTCTCAATCTGGCCCAGGTAAAGACACAGTCCACACCACGACCATCATCGTTGAATCTTGCTCTGACAATGATACCTGTACCGGGTACATCAAGACTATCGTGATGACCCAGACCAACACCGCTGCGCCCACCGCGGCTCCCTCTTTGTATGCTCTACACCGGGGCTCTGGAACTGGATCTAGTGGGGCTGTCTCTGCCTCCTCGACTCACTTGTGGTTCCCCAGAAGCCACCCTAGTGGAATGGCCACGACTGCTGTTTCTATTCTGACAAGTACAGTGAGTTCGGTGTATACAGGGGCTGCATCTGTAGGTACCCAATTATTGATGATGCAGGTCGTGGGTACTATGATGGTGATGATGCTGGCGATCTATATCTAGGGCTTTGTTGGGAAGATTAGATGTAAAGTTTATTTTGTTTTGGTATTTTGTCTTCACTTTAATATTTTGGATAGTTTTGAATTAAGAGGTCGTCACATTCATGGTGATTTTGAAGACACCGAAAAACTCAAGCAGATTGGGGCCATAAGTCTAACCAGGCGACAAATGAGGAGTTGATGGGTGGTGGCAGCAGTGCTGATACTACTGGTGATACTACTGGTGGTACTATGAGAGATACAAGGGAGCGAGTAAGTAGCGCTACATAATCATACAAGGATACAGATTTATGAAGAATGCATATACTTTAGCACAGTATTTTTTACAAATGTCCCAAATTCATTAATAATTCACAATATGTTATAAGTAATAGCGAGGGTATATACAAAAGAAAAACCCAAAAGGTGGTACAAAAGGGTAGAAAAAAGATACATGTGAAAACATAAAAACAAATACAGTCATCTGGCCAAGGCCGGTGGTATACATCACTCAGTGAATTAGCGCATAAGATAGGTAGTCGGCTGATCAAGGATCTCCTGACGAAGATCCTCCTCCCAGAGACCCGCCGACGGCTCCTGCACCTGGAGGGTCAAACACGAGAACAAAAACTCATTAACTCGGTACCGCGACAGGGCACTCAACCGACTAGCAATCTTCAACATATGATCCGTAAACCACGGGCGCGCAGAGGGCGAAGTAGCAGTCAGAAAGTACTGAGAGAAATCTGGGAGTTCCTCTACCGGGCCAGCGGCAGCAAAGCCGTCGGCACTCGTGGACCAGCTATCAGCAGTGCCGTCGGTGCAATCGAGCAGGATTTGGAGCATGGCGTCGACGGAGCCGTTCATCCCGACTTCGCTGCCGACCAAGGATTTTTCGAGTGTGTCGAGGAAGATTGCTGCGCGCGCTGGGGTGTTACGGTAATCCCACATCGCGGCATTGAGTGTTATCAACGCTGTTAAGCGGGTGACCGTTTGTTTTCGGTCGGCTGGTGTGGGGAATCGGGCGCCTGGGGGTGCGGCGAGGATTTGGTTCAGGATGGATGTTTCCTGAACTGCGGTGTGGCGGGTAATGTACGATGATTGGGGGTTGTCGCGTTGGTATAAGGCGAGTTGTTCACAGCGTCGGAGGAAGTCAAGGAATTCGTCGCATTGAAATTTGGTCTCGTCAATTGGGATTGATTGGAAGTTTGGTGGGAGCAGTGTTCGAGGTTCGGGGCTGGGCGAGACTTCTGAGAAAGCCGAGGAAGTGGAATATGGCGGAGAGGGCATTGAATGGGGGACTGGAATGGGATGGGGTAGTGATGCTAAAGTCTCAGATGAGACTGGGGTATGCTGGTCGTATTCATAGAAGAAGTTGGGCCCGTGGGTCTCAAATCCTGGCAGGATGGGGTTTTCCCAATTGATCATCATGCCGATGCGAGTATTTGCGAATGCAGCGGGACCACCGCGCGCTCGTATCATCTCGCGTGCAGCTCTCATATGCGCCGAGCTTATCTCCTTGTGACCTAGTCGGTGGTCGCATTTCTCAAAGGATGCGGCATTCAGACAGGCAATGATTGCAGCATCGGAGATGTCATGGGGGATGTCGGAGCGTGACTCCCGGAGCATGGAGACAGCACGGTCTCTGCAAAGAAGAGAATTTTGGATTTCCCCTTTATTACGATGTATTAGCTGCATGTACGAGAATGGTGTTTTGGAGATGTGACGGTACCTTTCGTTGTCTCTGGCACAAAGGCCGATGTATAACCGTTGGCTATGGGTGACCGGTAAGGGGTTCCATAGGAGCAGGCTGGCACATCATTCACATAGGAGTCAAATACCCTGTGTCCATCTCGACCCAACTCTACAGGAAGAGCGTTAAATGGGTTGGTTTGCGCATCGCTCACAATGGTACTTGGTGATGGCACGAACTGATATGGTACCGTGGAGGGTGATGACCATGCGATGTTGTTAAAATATAGCTCAGGGGTTGGTGAACTCTGTGAATGTACATCTACAAAGCCATCCAGTGGAAGAGGAAGATCGTGAGACTGGGCAGAAGATGGTCGGAAAGGGGCAAACGAGGACATATCATCGGATACAATCAACGAAGGATCCGACGAGATAGGATTCGAAGCAAACATATCGCGGTTAACCTGGACAATCAGGTCTTCTTTGTATGTGACTTGCTTCCTCGTTGATCTCCTTGCTCGAAATTGACCGATATTGTAGTCACCGTCTGATTTCACTTTCTTCTCTGATTTTCGAATCGCAGCCCGAGTCTTCTTGGGCCTTCCACGTTTTGCTCGCGGTTGTTCCTCTTCACTCTCACTCTGACGAGCACCGCCTTTCTTCTGGCGCATATATTCTTGCATAACATGACGCTTTACTTGGGTCAAGTTGGATCGACTATTGTTCGAAGAGTCGATGAATTGCCATCGCACAGGGGATGGGTCCGGCGCATTGCTGACGTTACTAGGAGGGGATGACATATTTCTGTTTGAGCAATAGAGACTGTGTAATCAAATCACAGGAGCCGTTCGTCTCCTTGTGGGGTAACGGAAAGACGGTATGGAGAAAGTTTGGATATAATCGACGGGGCAAGTCCAAACCGAGTCGAACGTCCGTTCTTAAAAGAAAAAGAATCCAATAATAGAATGCCCAAGTAGCAGCGGGGCACTCTCTTCAACCCATGCTCTAACGTAAAAAGGAGTATAGTAACTTTCTGATTCAGATAACTAGGGACAGCAGATTAGTCGGGATGTGCTTCTCCACTCGCCCATCGTCTTTTGACGAACTAGACTAGACTGGAATAGCGGCCTTCCAGGAATCCGGTCGGCACGTGTGGAGATCAACAGTGTAGCGAGTCAGAGCCAGGATAGCTGCGTAGGTGGGATACACCTCTTGATAGCTTGGGGGCCAAATGCGCCGGCATGGTAGTGGAACTGTGGCCCCAACTTGGGCTTCAGGGTCGATAAGATCATCCCCTACAGGGGGTCATGACAAAACCAACTTGGCATGTTTTTTCCTCCATATTAGGCTAGTCTTGATCTATCCCATCGTTTACAGCAAGTAGATAGGCTCCACCGTCGTCGAATCGTCGAATCATCAATTCTATGTGCCCGGGTAGACACCCGGCTCTCTACCCGGTCTGTAATCTGCATATTGTCCTGAGTTGCCCATGAGGTTGCAAATCGAAGAAGGATCGTCCTGTATTTCCTTGTGCATTGCTACAGCTGTTTCATTTGAAAATATCTTATATCTCGCGTGTGAACGTTGAAGCGGACCCGTGGAACCACATATATGGGGAGAACCGCACGTGTCAAGACCCTCCTCCATAGGGTCTCGGCTCGGGGGAGCTCCGTCCGTTAGTGTCTTGGCATACAGGTCGAAGCATTGCATGACTATGAGGTGTTTGTGATTTGCAGGGAACCTTTGCAAGGGGTAATATGCATGGATACAGGTTGACCAAGAAAATTTAAATGGTTTTTTTTTGGTGGGGGCTGAAAGGGAGATCTTTGCAGGGGGGTAGTTCGGGAAGTTTCATGTTCAACGGTGAGCTATGCTATTATTATCTAAATCTGCTGATCATCTCGTCTATATTGTATTATATCTCGCTTAACTGCACTAGAGTTGATATCTAGCGATGCAATATTAAATGAAACCTTTAACAAATGCCTCTTAGATATGAGAAATATGTGTACAAATTCTATCAAATATACCAGTGGCGTACAAACGTTAGAATTACTAGGCTACAGGTATTAGATCCCAAACTCTAAGCTCTCAATATTATACCTGACTCAAGTTTCGGAAATTTAAACTATGAGACTATCCCCAATCCTCCGCCCCCACCTTGTCCTTTTACGCTTCCGACATGCCCTCTTGGGTAAATTTTCAGTCGATCACCGGCAAATATTCGCCGTGTTCCGGGATTTCCGTCCAGAGGGGAAAAATAACAACCATTCACTCTCTGCCCTACCAATCCAATTTCATGAGAAGTAATCTACAGAACATTGCTTGGTTTGCTGGGCTACCGCGGCAGCCCCCATCCATGAGGTACATCCTCTAGATTAGTGTGCTCTAGTGAGCGCGTTGTGGCTTGAAAAATACTGTACTGGTCAAGACAGGCTCTACCCAACCGAAGCTGCTTGAGCCACCACTCTGTAAGGGTTTCAGCGTAAGATAGAACTTCACCGGTGTTTCCGGGGCTGCCTTTTACCGGTAACGAAAGGCAATAGAACCCTAGACTATGCAGGGCACTATCACCAATGATGACATTCCCAATCTGGATCTTGCAAAGTACTAGGTTCATAATCTCCTCGTCACTTTGCCGGTCACACGACATACTCTCGGGCAAATGCGCTGTGACCCAGCAGAAGTCCGGCACGTCGTCGTGAGGATCTGCAATTCGGCCCCTGCCATTCATGAATACACTCGTTTGGAATCTAGAAGCGAATGTCATTTTGCAAGTTAGTACAGAATTGCGTTGTTTTTGATTTCTTTTTTTTTTTTTTGCTTTGGCTGATTGACGGTGTAAAAATGCTCTCTGTGGATTTGGAGAGGAACGTGAAGGATTTGAGGCCTTCTATACGTTGAGAATACTAAGACAGTCTACAATGGCTTTTCTCTAGTCTTTGACAAGACTCCGCAGTAAAGTCTATACAAGTCATTGTCCTTGGTTTGTCAACGGCTTCGCTTGTTTCTTTGTTAAATTACAATGGGCATGACATAGTTTTGAGGGGGTCTAAGCTCTTTCGTCCCATTCCTTCCACCCCGTCTATGCAGGTGATGTGATTCAAGTTTCATTACCCACAGTACTATATACACAGTACTATATACACAGTACTATATACTAGTATAGATTCATACATCGGTTATGGATATTATCTCTGGCTCGTGTATGATTACCACTAACGTCCCACGCTGTGATATCCACAGTGTCAATTGCAATTTTAATCTCTTGGAGATCGCAAACCGAGTGCATGTATGCAAATTGAATAGGGCGGGATGTGACTATCTTCCGGTTCTGAAGGTATCTATGTAGCAAGTTGGACCTCCCCTGATGATCGTCAAGGATTCCTGAATATATTTAATGCCATGCAGTTTGATCTACCCATAAAGCATGGAAGGCTGACCCCATCTCTCTGAAACTTGAATGATCTAACGGTTTCGAAATAGAAAGGACAATTGAAACAAGGTTGTGTTATATGGGAACTGAGCATATACTGCTTTGGGCCATGATCACCTTAGTGGAGGTGTTAATGTGGGGAGTTCTGCTCTGCAAACGGTAGTGGAACTACCAACACGCCCAGAGGATAACATCCCAGTATCTGCAGGTCGGCTAGCTCGGTTTTTTATTTTTATCTTTTATCCCGCTATATATTGGTCAAAATAGCCGGTCGAATGTTCTCTACATGGGGGCCAAAACAGCTAGGTGTCAGGAAAACTAGCGTGGCAGATCGATGTGCAAGCAAGGAAAAGATATCCTAGCGAGACGAAAGGGGAAACGAAAGTAGCCCCCACACAGAATAGATTGGAAAACGTTTTCATGATATTAGAGGTAGGTCAACATACTGACGGCAAAGACTGGGGTAAAGAAAGGAGGAGATTCGGAGCCGAAGTTTTTGGAACAATAACTTACATTATCGGCGTAAATTTACACTGTATTTAGATTAGCTGGACACTTAGTTGAACAAGCTCAATTTAATGAATCTAGGCAAGCGGGATAAACGTGAGCGATATGTAGTCCGCCCTGGTGCCCAGGTGGGGGAAGTGGCTTTTGGGCTTTTCCCTCGCCAGCGCCTCCCTCACATTTTAGGGCTCGCTTCTGTTAGCCGTTAAATCCCATCTGAATGTAAACAATATTCCCTATTCCACACAGCTCTGGTAAATAGAAGTCTAGGGTACTTAGGAGAGTCAATCTCAAACACAACCAGAGCTGGGTGTCTACAAAGTAGAAACTGGTCTGTCCCGAGTTCTATTTTAGCTATACCTACATATATACGGAGTAAGTACCTATGTCTATCGGGATAGTGGTTCGCGCCCCTTAGCTCGTCAGTCTGCTGCAGTCCTAGTGCCCCAGGGACCTGCGCTTCACGGGGACCGCCGTGTAGCACGGGCACATTCCTAATCGCCAATGGAGCTACCACAGACGCGGCATCTTCCTCTGAAAAAGAAAATCAATTACTTCTTTAGTATCACTTGCCTAGAGCAGCAAGATCCATAGCTTTGGGACCATCTTTCCTATGTGTAGGATAAGTTTCGCTTCAACCATTGGCCCGGTCCTGCAGCGCAATATAAACTACTGCGTACATATGCGACCAGCTGATCATTTAGCTCCTGTACCTAAGATCAAGGGGCTGTTCGGTTTTATTTTTACTTGAAACGTCTCGCCACATAGTGGCAGATGCTAGGGAGTACGGAGTTCTCCGCCACTCAAGGATCTTCGATTTCTGATCGCCCAAATCCTGTTACAGCATGAAACCCGATCTGGAATGAACGGCAAGTCGGCTGTGATGTCCTGTGATAAGGAAGCAGTTAATATATTTGTCACATAGATGTGTATTATATCTCACTTGCTACCGTCCAGGCCTACTTGTTGGGGTATATCCTGTGAAGTCGATCACTTTTACATAGATGTATCACTCCTCGCTTGCAAACTTGCTTGCAGGAGTATATCATCTGAAATGGCGAGAAGTCGATCACTTATACCTTCCTTCCTTCTAGCATTGGCAGAACTGTGCCAACATTTGTCTCTGGAATGAGATCATGTTGAAGCGAGCCTGGTGAGATGCCTGTCATAAACTTGGTCTGGGCACAAATAAAGCAATTGGAGATGACCTAGACGCATTTCCCGTCGAGGAGGCTCAATTCTTTGTTATTTGGACCCGATGGTTATTATCATCTGCTAAGTACTTGCCTTCGGCTGGTTGTACTATCTCATTTCTCGGACTTTACATGTGTGAACACCTACATAACCATAGTGAAAGCATATTGCCATCCCACTTACGCTTCAATTAGTTGCAGGGCCATGTATGCAGCCAAACTTCAGCATAGGTATACTCTTAAGTCTCTGGCTTACTGCCTCCTTTTAAAATTCAGCTGCAACTTTTTATCTAACACATGTGCAAAATAGACAACACACTATTGAAACCCCATCGTGCATCATCGGTCACTCAAGCCTCTAGCAAAATTGTCTGCTGCACCTTGACAATCATTGTTCCTTTCCTTCGAAAGATGATGGTGGCAATTGGAATTGGCTGGGGATTTACCATCATGGGCGTGGTGGTGAAGGATATGAGAGAAGATCTTCGGGCGTGACTACGCGAAAGTTACCTCTAGCCGAATGCATGGTTATTCATTCATCTTCAAGTCTTGCAGGGGTGATGGAATGGAAGTGGAAGGCAAGGCACAGCCGTCACATACAGAGGTCTACATTGTCGTCAAAATGCATGGTGAATGTGAGATTGCTGATTGAAGACCTGAGATTGATAGGTTCTAGACTACGAAGCTTGACACCCCCCCCCCCCGCGAACATGAAACCATAGAGCTGTCGTCCTCCACGAGTATTAGCCCTTAGCTATTATAGAGGTTATTATATCGCATAATAGGGTCGCCAGCTGAGTTATACTCGATGTCAGTCTCGGCGAGAGCTAAAGCTGTTGCCGGCGTTCTTCTGAAGTGTCCATGGCCCTTCGCTAATAGAAAGTGCACAAATGCTTTAGTCTATTGTTTACAGGCTTGTTACCCTACCCATTGGAAGCGGCGCTTGTTTCGTAAAGCACGTCGTCAAATGATAATTAAGGTGCCTAGCGAGACGTCGGTTCTCGGGAATGCTGAAATCGGAGAAAGCGCTAATAAGTACGGACTCGGACGACTCGGCGCCGAAAGGATGAAGGCTGTGGATTCACTTATTAGCAGCGGGACTAACGCCAACGGCTGTACTTCTTACGGAAGAGGAAGTATTAAGCCGAACTTGAAGTATACGACCGACCGCACGTCTTGGTGAATTCCGAATTCGGCGTGAGAGGTGCGCTAATGAATAGCGAAGTGTTGCAGACTAGTGGCGCAGTCGATTTTCGTTTTACTTTTACTTAAGGATGAAATACGTGTGGAACTGCTCGAAGCCGGTAGCGGGACTTGCGAGTCTACTCGGTAACTGAGGGATTTTCCAGAGCCAGTTAAGCTTATTTGCGGCTGAGGATCTCCACAAGGTGAGGATCTTGTGTATTAAGAACACATTAATTAGACTGCGGCAGACCACGAGGAAAATTTTTCTCGCCAGTGAGGGTTAACACGAGCTTTGAGAGCTTAAATCCGCAAATCTGGAAGTGTTATTGGAGGATATATTGCCGCATACCAAGTGGAGAAAGTTGGGAGTAGATATTGAATGGCCGGCATGGGTAGCGGATTTTGAGATATATTAAATAGAGAGACGCTTGATAAAATGTAGGCTGTAGGAGAAGTACTATGTAGGTCATAACGCGCGATAAGTTTTGTAAATCCATTGCAATCAGTCTATCAAAATCGTTATAGTTGTATACCTCCACCGCCTTAGGACTATACTGCCATACTGCCGCATCTACTATCCTGGGGTCAAGCTATATTTGTTCCAACTCCAACTCCACAATTGCAGCACTCAGCGACGGGAAACCCCCTAATCCTCATCAAAATGCCTCCACCAAAGGCAGCAAAGGGAGAATACATTGAGACCGTAAGTAAAATCCCACCTTACCCTTTCAATTCACAGCAAATCTCCCAACCCACCTCAAACAAAAGAACCCAACCTAACCCACCCCAAAACAGGACACAGGAAACAAGATCTCCCGCCGGTCCCAAATCCATGGCACCCAACACATTATCCTAGGTGGCAAAACGGTAATTCAAGCTGAAGCCACCATTCGCGGCGACCTATTCCGCACCGCGACCGTTCCCACTCCCACCGACGGAAACACTCCCGCGGCTGCGCCGAACCCCAGCACGCCCAGCGTGGCGATAACAGTCGGGCGGTACAGCTACATTTCCAAGAGCGCGATCCTGCGTCCGCCGAGTCGGTTGCACCGAGGCGTGCACTCGTTTTACCCGCTCAAGATCGGCGACCATGTTTTTGTCGGCGAGGGAGCTGTTGTTGAGGCGGCGTCGCTGGGGAACCATGTTCATGTTGGCAAGGGTGCTGCTGTAGGCAGTATGGCTATTATCAAGGACTACGCTTATGTGCTTGATGGCGCGGTTGTCCCGCCTGGTATGGTTGTACCGAGTTGGTGTGTTGTTGGTGGGAGGCCGGCGAGGATTGTCGGGGAGGTTGGAGAAGGTTATGGTGTTGAGGGGGCAGAGGGAGGTATGGCTAGGGAGAGGTATCGGGTTGTTGGACGGCCTTAAAGAGAGGTTGCTGGGTTTGTCTTTGGTTTTTCTGGTTTCGTGATACCCCCTCTGCTACTTTTAATGTTATTGGATACCTTCAAGTATCTACTGTGGCAGATTGTCTGATTTTACATTTATATATTCATTACTAATATGATTCATTACTAACATGCGATTGAAGCCCTGGAGGACCTCCGATCAGCCCATATTCTCCACCTTCACTGCGCGTTTGAGCCGCAGCTCGTCGGCTTTCTCAGGGACCCCAATCTCTCCAAACGCCATATCATCGATCCAGCGTCCATTGGGTCGAACAGTCTCGCCACGCGACATCTTGGTGGCGAGATAGAGCCAATTGAGAGCACTTCCCACGGTGCTCACTTCATCGCTGACATTGTTGATGCCGTACTTCGACATGCGCGAGTACATATCGTGATCGGTCCAGAGATTAAACAAGTGCTTTGCCACAGCATCGGTATCGCCAACATCAACCAGGAACCCATTCTTCCCGTGCATTACCTGCAACGGGATGCCGCCGGCACGCGTGGCAATCACTGGTTTACCTTTGTGGATTGCCTCGGAGACTTTGACCTCGAACCCTTCGGATCTAGATAGTTGCAGTGCGATGGTCGCCTTGGAGAGAATGGCGTTCAGAACTTGGTCGCAGGGCCGCACTCGCACCACGCAGATCAAGTGGCGGATATCTGGGACCTTTTTCTCCAGATATTCGATTGTCTTGTCGTAGATAATCGCTCCGTCGGGATCATCCACTGATCCGTGTCCGCAAATCAGTAGTTTGGGAGGGGTCATCTGAGGGCTTTCAGATACTAGTTTGTTGTAGAATTTCTCGTAAGAAACCAACACATCTTGGATACCCTTAGACGGGTCGAACCGTGCGATCTGGACGATATACGAATCTAGTTTTGTTAGCTTTCAGGAATCTGATCATCACTGGTACTGGTTCGGCTACTAACCCTCGGGCCACAGGATAGTTGGCATATCCGTGTTGCGACATGCTGAATTGAAGATACGGCCATAGTGCGCAACGTCCCAGTCCTGCATGGTCTTGTTCAGTCCATCCAACCTATGTCCCAGTTAGTAAGATGGAAGACGAAACCAGATTATCGGATTTCCCAGTCCTTACCAGTCAGTTGTTGCAGGCATATAGCCCACCATCTCTGGGGGCACATTCTTCGGCACGAAGTCGCTCACAGGGTGACTGATAAAAAGGTCGGCGTGTTTAATACTATCCCAGAGGAATTCCCAGGCCTCCGCCTGTGGGGAGCCAGGTATCGCAACCAGATCACTTCGGATTTGGATGTGGCTTCGGAAGATGACTGGCCGATCTGGAGCTAATGCTTTTGCAATGGGAATGAGGCCTGGCATCTGGGGATCGTCGATGATTACGACATCTGCGCCGCCCTCCGATGGTGGAAGCAAAGGCCCACCTACTCGAGTCCAGTATCGCCTGGCATTCTCCTCGATCCACTCCTGCAAGAGTTTCTTGTTCTCTGGCAGTAAGCGCTCGTCTTCATGAGCGACGCCTTGCAGGATGTTGTGGTTTGTTTTGGTAACCCTGAAAACACCTGGCCGTGGTTTTGGGACGTACCTGCGAGCAACGTGTTAAGTGTTTATTCTTACAATAACGCAGATACAGACACACAACGCACCATTTGATGTCAGTGCCCAGACAGCGCGAAAATCGCGAGAGAGCGTGCCGCATCAATGCCACACCACCACCCTGAGGTGTAGAACTGAAAAATGCCACTTTTATTTTGCGCTTTTTCAAGTCATCGGCGTAGTGTTGCATCGCGGACCACGTTCTATCCGAGACTGTTGTCTGGAAATCACTCAGGTCGGCAAGCCTGATATGGAAAGCTGTGTCCACTTCCACGATCCCGAGGTAGCCCACTTGTAGCAGGGGCGTGTTGTCCGGTCCGAATAGTCTGTATGTACCCAGAGTCAATGAGTCCTTTTACGATATTGAACAGGACCAACCAACCTAACACCTTTTCGTGCCATGGATTCGGCCTGCTCATCGACAGTCTTTGCATTCCACCCAGTAGTTCTCGGGTCTTGATCCTCACCAAACTGTTCGACACTCATTCTGTCTATCAGTGATACGTTGGACAGGACCAATGGAACGATGTCGAGCTCCGCCCAAAGGCGAGGACATAGTCGAGGGCAGTGGTTTGCAACATCTTCGGGCATTGAAATTCCAATAAATTTCTCCATGTGTTGATGGGAATATGCCTTGAGCTTGGCAATTATGAAGTCGGTGATTTCCTCTGAGCATGCATGACGGTTTGTGAACTTCCTCTCGATGAAGTCTAGTAGATATGTGGTATCGCGGATTGCGATTGCGACCCCTGATACATGGTTGTCGTCAAACTTGCCCGAGATACCGGCGTAGATGGACTAATATTCCTGTTAGAATTATCGAATGGCTTTTTCTGGTACTTTGGAGATGTTCATACATCTGACGGCGGCCCTAACCAAGCGTTGCGCTCATACTGTAGCGACAGTCGACGCTGCTGTGTGACTGACGCATGGCGTTCGAACTTATGTCCTTCGCCAGGCATGATTATGAATGTTAAACAAAATCAAACTTGACCAAGAAATCAAGGTAGGAGCTATCGACTAAATACAAGGTATCGCATGAGTGAAGTCATTTGGCCATGACGTAACGACAAATCGACAATTTAGAAATCTATTTGCTCTTAATGGCCTTATCGACTTTCAACATTGTTACAATGTTACCTTGTGCAACAAAGTGAGAAAACACTACATTGGATATGTATGTAGCAGAAAGAGTGTAAGTGTCATTGAGTTTATCTTGATAAGAGAATGACATACTACTCTCCAGGGCTATGTATATCTCGTGACGGTCCATGGTTGCTACCGGAGTGATATTTATCCGTGTCTTAGATAATAATCCTCAGTGGGAAATTTGGGTGATGGTATCGGAGAGGTGGTTTGATAGACTGGAAATTAGCAATAAAACAAGTTCATTGATATATGAAACCATTCAGGATGAAACTACCTCGTTTACTCCGTATCTCGTGGAGACCATGATGAGTAAGCTCAGCCCAAGCCCCTTTTCCAGGTTCCCCCGCCTCAGGGAAATTGAATTGAAGATCTTCAACACACACCACACCTTCTTTTCTCTTTTCTCTATCATTTGGAGCTGTCTGAATTGAGAGAGTCACCTTGTACGGAAACGACTGGTGTCTTGCATTTCATCTCCCAAACCCGCAATCCATACGCGGGTCGCAATTGTTGATATTCCGCCAAACAGCTCCTGAGCAACGTCCGACACCGCGTCAAATCCCGTAAAAATGGGTGGACAAGTATCTAAAATGATGGGGAAGATATTCGGGACCAAGGAAATGCGCATCCTCATGTTGGGTTTGGATGCTGCTGGAAAGACAAGTATGTTTCTTGAACCTTACTAAATACCTCGGTCAACATTGGCTAACTCCTTTCAGCAATTCTCTACAAACTTAAACTCAGTAACCAGGACGTGACTACCATTCCCACCGTCGGATTCAACGTCGAGAGTGTGACCTACAAGAACGTCAAGTTCAACGTCTGGGATGTCGGTGGTCAGGACAAGATCCGACCGCTCTGGAGACATTATTACTCTGGTACACAAGGATTGATCTTCGTGGTTGACTCCAGCGACACGGCACGTGTGGAGGAGGCTCGCTCGGAACTGCACAAGATCATCAACGATCGTGAAATGAAGGATGCTCTGCTTTTGGTGTTCGCCAACAAGCAAGATATTCCTGGCCGTACGTATCGCCTGTTCCTGGAATTCGATGATCTGTCCGCTGACCCACTTCTAGACTTGTCACCGGAGGAAGTTACTCAGCAGCTTCAATTGACTAAGCTCAAGGACAAGCTGTGGTACGTTGCGCCTAGTGTTGCAACAGACGGAACAGGTATTTTCGAGGGTCTTGTAAGTCACGCCCCCCGATATATCTCCTGGAAATATCAATCTAACCGTGCTATCTCTTGCTAGGCCTGGCTCTCAAACAATGTCAAGACCCAGCCCCAGAAATAAGATGCACCGCTGTGATTTCGAGAGGCGCTCCTAGAGCAGCTTCGTTGTACAACATCTCGCATTATCCGACAAGTGTTTTCTCTTTTCTCCTCATGTCCGTGTTTGATGACAAGACGACGCAGCATTTTGGGCTTTTGTTTCCCTATGTCTTTTCTTTTGTTGGCCTTAGTTATCTCGTTGCTTTTTCCGTTTATTTTCACTTCTATGATATCCCCTCTGTTCTTATATGGGCTTGTTGGGTCCAATTTAATACTTGAATTTCATTGTGCTCTCTACCTAGCGTTGTTATCGTTTGTATACCCTCTGTCAATTGTGGATGCGCTTCCTTATACACCTAATTGACTACAGCGGAGACAGGGCAGACAAGTTCTGACATTGGTTATAGAATATAGAAACAAATGACATACTTCTGATTAAAGCGCATGACTAAACTTGCATCTCGTTTCCACGGAGCCACCCTCCGCGTTAGATCCATATGTTCATGTAGCCATAGATCAATTCCAACCCACTCAGCTTGTTTCTCCTGCTACCTCAATATGACGATGGCGGAACTCTTTCCCCAATGGACAAATATATATAGAATGGTAACTTAGAGTTGAATGTTAAAAGACTTTGATTCTTTTTGGAAGACATTTCTCTGTCTACAAAGACCGAAAATCTGCCCTACCCGTCTACACACATCTATACCAACCGGGACATTTTCCATCCCTCAAAATCAACTACACTACTCCCCCACCTGCCACTATCTTAATCTGTTCCAACAACGGCAATGCCTCATCCTCAGGCTCAGTACAAGGAAGGGGACAAAGTTAATTACAAGCCAGTCGGCGGTATGATGCACCCTTTTATATAAGACACATACACAAGTCCAAATGAACCACCGTCTAACAGAATACAATAGGCGCGCAATCCAAGACGAGCAAAAGCGTTGGAGTCATTCGTGAAACCTTGGGAGGGCGTAGCACGTCAGACGACGAGCCGCGTTATATGATTGAGAACATGCACACCCACAAGAGCTCCTCCATCAAGCAGGGCAACATTGAGGGACCGGCGGAGTAACGCATTGTCTTTTCCATGCTGGTAGAAGATGTATAAGACTTAGCATACTAAATTGAGCTGATCGCTTTGTCTAGAGGTTTCCAGAATTTAGAATAGGTGCTAATTTGAAATTGTGTAAGACACTCTAAGATTAAATTTTTGCCAAAATATCGATGTTTTGGCTTTATAAGAGAGGTAGTAGGATGGTTGGAAAGACCAACGAGGAATTCTTTTATATTGAGATCTTTCGATTGCTGTCCTGCAGAGATTCATCCATCTTGGTATGTATTCTTTTATAACACCCGAATGACGTAGAAATGTGATAAAGAGCCTCAGAGATCCCTGCAGGCGCGTTTGATTGGTTTCGTCATCTGGCTATGTCTACCACACAACTTAGCAAACAAAACCCAAGTTCAAACCCCAACTAAATTGCATATCCACAGCTGGTATCAGTAACACTGTTAATACTCATACGAAAACAGTATGCTGATCCCTAATTCTCCCAGACGATGAACGACTTTCCACCACCGGGGATTCCTATCAAGAAAAGGGGTTTCAGAGAAGTGTGCGAGGTCGATGGCCGTACATTCTTCAAGAAGAGAGGTGCACAGGAGTGGACCGAGGACACTTCCAATCCAGAAGAGCTGAAGCCACCCATTGAAAACCCTTGTCTCTACCTCTATCTCGTCCAAGAAAAACAACTCCCCGGAGAACCAAACCATTGGGCACTCTTCCTTAGCGACGAAAACGAGCCCGACTACGGTTATGTTTATCAAGTCAGCGGAGATGCAGAGGCTATGAAATACGAGCCGTCGACTGAAAAGATCAATGTCCTTGACGCGGGCCTCTGTTCAAACGTCTATACCCTGGCTGTTGTGTCTCAAGAACAGGACAGGGCGGCGAGGGTGGTAAAAGAGGCTGCAGAGTCGGAGCTTCCTCCCCAAGCGGAGAATCGGAAGGCTGTTGCGGAAAATTGTCAGGGGTGGACTATGCGTGTTATCGAGAAGTTGGTCAAAGAGAAGATTGTTATGCCTCAAAAGCTTGAAGTGGTAAGGTCTTTGATGGAGGTCGTTTGATATTGGAGGCAGCTAAAAGCTCAGTGCTGGGCCTCGTGTTTCATGTACGCAGACAGAGGCCGTTATTGATTCTTGCATTACAATGAGGGAGAAAATAATTTGGACTGAAAAGAGGCTCGTTGAGTATATTCAAGAATAAAGGCATCAAGTGTTCATTCGAATATCATATCCTTCGTCCACGGTATCTTGTGAAAAAAGCGCCGTGCAAAACCCTAAGCCGTGTCACATCTGTTGAAAAGTAACGAGGAGAATGGCATCATTGATCAGAATTTTAAAGAAACCTAGACAACAAGTTTAAGCCTGATTGGGCCAGATGTCGTTGGCAATATCACGGACCAGCTGCAATTTGTTGACCATACCGTCCCAGTCGATAGCATTGCCCTCACGGTGGGAAGCAAATCCACACTGCGGGCTAACACCGACCTGGTTAAGTGCAGCCTCGAGGGAGATGTTGTTACCCTCAGCAATAAACTTGGCAGCATCAATGACGCGCTCCTTCATCTCCTCCTTATCCTCAAGCTTGGCAAACTTGCTAGTGACAACACCCAGAATGACGTTCTTGTGGGTGGGAAGGAACTTGAGGGGCTCGAAGCCACCGGCACGGGGGGTATCGTACTCGAGGTAGTAAGTGTGGACGTTCAGCTCCTGGAAGAGCTTGATGGCGATACGGTCGTAACCGCCTTCAGAGAAGTGACGGCTGCCAACAAAGTTACCGCGGCAGAGGTGTACACCGACGTGCAAATCGGCGGGCAGGTTCGCGAAGCAGTCGTTGTACTGCTTGATATATTTCTCAAACATGGTATCGGCGGAGTATACGTTCAGAGGGTCCTCCTTGAAGCCAGTGAGGAACTTCTCAGAGCAGAAGTCTGAGAGGAAGGTCAGTTTAGTCAATTGATGTTGGCTGGATATAACATCTTACAAGCCAGGTTGGGGTCGTCGAATTGGACGTTACGGCAGCCGGCGTCATACAGGATCTGAAGCTCGGCCTGGTAGGCCTTGGCGATGTCGCCGAAGTAATCCTCGTCATTGGTGTATACAGACTTGGGGTAAGCCTTGCCCTCACGGTAACGCAGGTGGTACCAGTTAGGCGCGGCAAGAGTGATCTTCAGGTTTCCAACTTCGTTGGCAGGGACCTGGCTGGCGAGGTACTTGAACTGATCGATGTAGGTGCTACCGACGTGCTTGATCTTGCCGGTACAGATGACACTCTCACCGGGCTTGTGGCCGGCCTCCAAAAATGCGGCGATATCGGGGGCATAGGGACGGAAGTCATCCACATCGACATCGCTGACCTCCTCGAAGCCGTCCAAGCCGGGGAAGAAAGTACCCCAGAACACTATATTTGTCAACGTGACTCACTCAATGGCTCTCCGGATCTCTTACTGTGACGACGGTACTCTCCGTCAGACATAGCAGCATAGCCGAGTTTCTGCTGGGTCTCAACGATGGCCTTGATCTCCTTGTCCTCGCAAGCGGTCAGTTGCGACTCGGGGATCTTGCCAGCCTCGAAAGCGAGCTTGGTGTCCAGAAGCTGGTTTGGGCGCAAGAGAGAGCCTAAGTGCTCTGCGCGGAAAGGAGGACGCTGGTGAAGTTGAGGAGCCATTGTGAATGGAGTATGTAGATTCACTGAGGGAGACAGTGAGCGTTATTTCTATAAATCTACTAGAAAAGATGTCCGGAGAAGAAAGAAGGGAAGTTTGGAGAAACGAATAAATCAAAAGAGGGGCATTGGCATTGCCATTGCCATCTCATCCGAGCTCTATAGCGTATCCAGCCGTGATAGGCATTGCCCCACAAAAAGCTGAGGCTCTCCACATGGGCCAATTTGGCCTGCAAGTTGTCTGTGTAGTTTTTTGATCTTATTTTAGGTAGAGGCCATTTCAAGAAGCAATTGCTCGTACAAACAGGACATATTAAAAAGCCTATATGGATATAAGTTAGTACATGATAATATGACAATGCGGGAGGAAACAAACCTGGGGTATTCCAAAACCCCCCGATCCCCAGTGATATCTCCCGAGGTCGGATGTGTCGAACGTAGAGTGCACGGACCACATTATTCCTATACATCCATTCTCTGTATTCCTCTGCTATTGTACAGCTATTTATCCCTCCAATCCTGGTTCTTACTTCTCTTTCAATATAGTTTACACACTACAATACATTGAAAAACACCCTTGGAAACATCGCTGAGTCACCGATTACAAAGGCTCAGTGGAGCCTTGGAGCCAGCCCATCGATTTGAGTGGGGAACCCCGGCACTTCACTTTCACTCTCTCAGCCGACAACTACTCTCTGCACTCTAGGTTTACTGTATTGGACACTCTGAGGTGGATATTCAATTTTAGTAATGGAAGTGGCCCTAGGCATGAGCAATTTATCATGTCTGCGCCATCCCCTTTGGAGCTCCTCCCCAATGAGCTCCTAGACCAGATTATCTCTTACTTATCCACAGAGCCACCGTCATTTGGACAACTACATCATACACCCAGTCTGAAGTTCACCCAATCTCCAACAAAAGACCTCAAGCATCTCGGACTTTGCTCACGACGCCTATTTCAACTGGTGCGACCCCAACTATTCACTCATGTCCGACTCAACCTCCATGATGAACCGGACTTCCACTCTTTTATGATCAAATCAGATCTCTATCAACATGTAACATCTCTTGTCGCGATTGCGGATGAAACCCTAGATCATCGGGTCGACCCATTTTGGTGGCGCCGAATCCTCCGCTATCTAGACACTCGCCGTGTTCTAGTAATAGGGCCACCAGTCTTCATTGGAAACACTCTAGCTACCCCGATCAATGATGGACACCACTGGGCATTTGATATGCCCTTACAGATCTTACTTTTGGAACGAGAGTGTAAACCTCGTGACCCATCCCAGCTGCCTGACTTGGAGAATTGTACTAGTCTTCTAGCATCACGACCGTGGACGTCGATGACTTTTAACGAGTCATCTTCTTTGAAAGCATACAACCATTACGAGTACTTCCTTTCATCTGTCCCGTCAATTCTGGCAGAATGGGGTACAAGTGGCGTACGCGGATCAACCCGCACGCTCCAACGCCCAATCAACCTGCCAGCTCTCTTACGCGGCCTCGAATACTTTTCCTACACGGCCGTGTTTCCATTCTACAATCACTCGCAAATTGTGATGGATGCTGTTGTGAGGATGCGTCGTCTGCGTCGCCTTGATGTACAGTTGGCCCCCCTTCAGGATAATCATATTACCGAGCTCGAACAACGAGGGTCTATGGATCCCAACGATCCTTGGATGGAACTCGCGACCTCGTACTCTCTGATTGGGTATACTGTGAATAAACTGCCCTGCTTGAAAGAGTTCAGGTGCGGTGACCTGCATGTGGAGGCCATGCGGCAGGATCTGCTAGCCGTTTTGGACGATGTCATCGGGGACGGAGGCTGGGTGCATGATGGACGTGGAGTGTGGAAGCGACCTTGACCATTTTCGCCAGAATGTAACTTTAAAATCTTCTCTATCTATTTCCATCATAATACATGATTCAAAGCAATTTCAAAATATGATTCCAGTATGTAAGCAAAATGGATTGAATGTTCAAGTATGGCGAGGCTAGACCAAATCGGGGAATATCCACTTTCGCGGATGTCCCTATCATCAACCACCTGCTCTTCGCTTCTTCTACAGTTGATATACCTGATATCAGATCCATATTAACTCGACGAGGCTTTGTATATGGGGAACCATGGCAAGCGCACCAAATGTTTACTCGGCAGAGCCTGCATTCCCGATCCTTGCTGATTCTCTACTCCGACCAGAGTCAACGGAAAATGCAGCTCCTTCAAATGAGACAACCGCCAAAAATAACTGGAATCTCAAAAATGATTGGAAACAGGGTATCCAATCCTCCGAGGAAGCAGTATTTCGGGGTGGGGTTGTCCTCGGCTTCTCTAGGCTTCAAATGAAAAGCAGCGAAAGTAATGAGTATATCGGACAGGTATGACCAACTTGTTACTCTTCGTTATACATTGTCATGAGACTAAAATTTACCATAGATTCCTCGATACATCCTCGCAAATAAACTGCGGAGTATCAACCCATCATCTGAACCGAGCGCATTCATCATCCACCCACGAAATTTCGAGGCTTTTGCCCCAAGGACTCTACTCAATGCGCTGCAGTCTTCCTCCCATGGCCAACCCGGTCTGTCAAGGGATGATGCAATCCGTAGACTCGACTCTGTGCAGTTACTCCCCGTACACAACTTCCCCAATGCCGCACAGGCCATCGGTAAGGTCTCGAAAGCGCTACACGAAATCCAAGAAAAGCGAGAACAGAAAAAACCGACCGAGACAGGCCCATCCATCCACAACCCCATCGTCTTCATTGTCGTCGGCCTCGATGCCCTAACCGAAGGCGTAATTCGAGCCTCAAACCCAGCTCGAGGTGCAGCCGTTTTGACAGCTACACTCCGCACCTTGACGCGCTTGTCTCGCGTGCACGCCTCTCATCTCTCGATCATTCTTGTTAATACTAATGGACTGGGAACCGTGAATCCAGAGTGGGGTAATAATAAATCGTTGACTGGAAACAATACTGGAGATAGTGCTGCGAGACAGCCACTGGAAGATGGCATTCACTCCATCTTCCATTCGGATATCTCCCCCCTGTTCCCAACCTTGCTCATGAAGACATTAGACCAAGGCATTGATACCCATTTGTTGCTTTCTGATGTGAGAGGAGTTCAGATAGTCGAAGTGATCAAAGATCGAGTTGGTACGAGTCTGGGTAAATGGGGAATATGGAATGAGCAATGAATGATACCATTTGCTATGATGTCGCTGCCAGAGATGACCTTGATCGACCTCGATGCAATTGTCCATACTCTTACAAAATAATGTCCTCAAAACAGATCCGCCCGTCGCAAAGCGCCGCTTTGTATGTAATTGGCCCCAAACCCAGCCACTACCATGCTGCTATATTAAAATCTGCAAAATACCAACTCCAGTCCATGAGCCTTTTTTTTTGCCTCTCCGCAATCAAGGGGTATCAAGCTTTTGTTTTGTGGAATCAGGCTCGCCATGGAAGGCTTCACTCTTAAGACAAAAAAGGCCATTCGGCATTCAAACCTGATTATCCTTCTCGGCCCATCGTCTCATCACACCCCGCTCCACCACAGACCGAGCTTCCTCCTCACATCTGGCGAGGTCCTGCTCTGCCGTTTCCTCCTCAAAGAGAATATCTTGCTGTTGCACTTTAACCCATTGCTTATGTCTCTCACACCGCTTCTTGGTGCAGACGCCACGCGTCCAGAATGTAATATCGTCATCGCTGTCGCCGTTCATCGCCGAGTCCCCGTCTGCATCAGTAATAGTTGAGGAACCCACAGCTAAAGCTTCAGCCGTTCCCTCCGCGAGAGCTTTCTTTCCAGCGTCGGAGAGTCGCCACTCATCGAATTCTTCGTCTGACCACGAAAGCCGTGAGTCAAAGCCGCAGATATCTTTCCATCCGCCCTTCGGCTCGTGCTGCTTCAGTTTCTCTACTACGCCCTTGGCGCGTGGCTTGAGAAGGGAGACGAATGTCGTGCGTGCAGCAAGCATCTCCTTGCGATGAAGGAGTTCCTCACGCTGCTTGCGCAGCTTTTCGATCTTCGCAATCTCGTCGTGTGAATATTCCATGCTAACGTCATGGACGTCGACTGCCAACCACCTGCCGCTTTGCGGCTTTGATTCGGACTTGATTCCAGCCCTGGTGGCTTCTTTCTCGTCTACCTGTGGTGGCGGAGAGATGATGCGATCTCCAAGCTTGCGGAATTCTTGTGTGGATGCCACCCCCATAATGGCGGCTTTCAGGTCTCCGGCGGTGAGAATGCCACCCATGCTACCTAGGTCTTCGAAAAGACCATTCGTCTGACCGGCACGCTGTTTCAGTTGCTGGGTCTGTTGGCGCATGAACTCCCGGCCATGGTCATCGCAACAGTATTTGCTCGGGGGCTTTGTTTTGGCGCGCGCCGGTTTCCGGCACTCGACCAGGCGACACATCGGTTTCCATGTTGTGCATCCCTTTCCTTCACTTGCGCAATTCGGGCCTAGTGTTTTCGAAGTTAGTTTTGAATAGAAGAGGGCCGTCGCTCATTGAAACTTACAGATATACCGCTCGATCAGATCCGCATCTCGACGATCGATATTGACGCATTTCCCATGATACCAGTCATCACAGTCGCCGTCACACGCGATCATCCATGTGTGGTTATCAGGCCGGCGGCAAATGCAGAATATCGCGTTTTCATCAAAGCTGTCGGAGTCGTCGTTTTCTTGGGTAGTAGCTTGTTTAGGTCCTTTCTTCTTCTTCTTCGACGGCTTTTTCTTCTCCTCTGGAGGTGGTGACCCTGCTATAGATACAGAATTTTGTTTCTTGGCGGGTGTTTTGCTGGCCCGGGAAACTGGTGTGTTGGAACGTTGCCCATCAGCGCTGTCTACCTCCGGATCGTTTGTCTTGCGCTTCTTGGCGGCAGGTTTCTTTGCAGTTCCCTTTTTGATAGCGTTTGTGGGCTTTTTGTTTGCTGTTTTGACGGAATTTGCCGGGGAGGACCGGTCGGACGATGACGCTCTTGATGTCAGCCCATGCTTGAGGTTCGCCACTGTTTTAGACGTCGCGTAGTCGCCTGTGCCATCGAAACCTAGTGAATTTGTGTCCAAGTCATCGCTAGTCGGGAATTTGTCGAGGGTAGAGCTTGTCGGTTCGGTTTTGACTGAAGGTAGGGGCGTGTCTTGGTTTGCGACCAGTGGGATGCCCTTACTGGGGTCGTAGGCACCATTGTAGAGGTCAGTCCAAGTCACACTCTTCTCGGGACTGGCCCCGCCATTTTGCGCAGGTCCAAGATCCCTAAAGAGTTGGTGAACCTTTTTGGCTCTGACGGTGCCAAAATACCCGCATTGTCGCCAGCCAGTAATCCCCACCACCCGATTATCCTGGACAATGATATTGTTCGGAGTGAAGTTATTGTGTGTCAAAGATAGTTCCTCTTCCTTGGTTTTGTCTGTGAATAGGATATCTCGTTCGCGGGTCTCGATGGAGGGCGGAATTTGGGAATTGAGTTCACGGCATACATAGGACGGCTCGTCTGGGGGCGAATCGATTGTTCCGAGTCGTTGTAGGATCTGGCGACACTGGTTTTTCAGAATCTCGATCTGTTCCGTGTCGAGATACCTCCACGCAACTTCCAGCGAGACGCCCGCAATGCGAGACTCGATTGTCACATTCCTCCCCTCAATTGTCCCGCAAAAATATATCACTGGTACTGCAACTCCGATCTCTCTGAGGGGGTCCTCTGCCTTCTGCGCGGCTGACAGTTCATTCGCATTCGCAGATGAGTATCTCTCAGGCGCCTCTCCATCGGCCAGTTCGGGGTCAACCCGAATAATTATACTCCCAGCCGCAAATACCTCTCTCGGCTCTGAGATATTGAGTGAGTATTCTGGGGTACAGTACTTCTGTGCGACCTTCTCCCAGAACGAGTTCACCGCCGGGTCAGACTGATACCAGTTCATGAAGCGAGGGGTGAAATCGTCGGCGCGGGGTGTGTAGCGACCATACTGCGGGCTCTGGCAAAGAAACGGGTCATCGCTGGGAATGTGATTAGGGTTGGTTTCGTAGGGGTTGGTTTTGGACTTTGTGGTTGCGGAGCCGTTCACATGGTTTGCGCCGGCGGCCGTCTCCATCTCTGCCATGGCCGTCACGAGTGGAGTGAGAAGGTGTATTGTGCGCAGGATCGAGATAATAGCCTCGCAATATTTCCTATTCGTAGTTTCGAGAAATGAAGGTTGTGTGGACTCCTGCGAGGTTCAAATATGCGAGCGAAGATCGCGGGCAAAACTAAACCGATACAAGTTCCACCGAGACTGCCGGGGACATCATGTGGATTGCATCGAGAATATAGGGTACTGCAAATATCTTTTCGGGATTTTTCTAGTCTGTGCGATCTCACTTTTGCGATTGGGAGAGTGCTCTCGGTGGTCTTGTGTTGACTGAATTCTCACGGGTTGGCGCGAATCCCACCGTCGATCGAAGATATGGGGTGTGGTCTAATGTCTTCGCAGAGGGTGATTGTTTGGTGGTTATAAGAAGAAAACAATCTGAAACCCCCCTGAAACATACAAATCGTGTTATTCCAGCTTGATTCAAGGACCAGAGCCTTGAGGTCTGGATTGAACATCGGAGTTGCGGACTGAGCGCGAAGGCGGTGAGCAGATTCAAGACACCCGTGGACGCGACAGCGACTTGACTTGACTTCACTTCTACTTCGCGAATAGTTCCTGGAGATTGTCGAATCAAATATCTTTAAAATTAACCTGCCACTAATATATTCAGCCAGAAATCTTTACGACAGAAAGAAGGAAATATTAGTATCACTCGTCTGGTACCTGATATGGATAGGGAGGGCGCGAGATCTGAGAACGGTCACCTTCGTCTGCAAACAGGGACTAGGAACACGCAATGCTGACATCGATGCTGTATTTCCTTCACTGCCTTTTGGTCCCAAATACTCAAGCGTCATTGGAACATCGACTATTTGCATCATATACCCAGTCACTTTGAGCCTTTCATTGTGCCGTCATAAATAATACCTTTACCCATCGCCAACCCGCAAACAAACGATCCCAACATGCTCCTCCCCCTCTACGGTCACGGTCATGCTCAGAGCTGGTCGATATCCTCTCTACCTACTCTACTGAGGTACACTCAAGGCAAAAATGAAACCAGTGAACTATTCATGAACTATACACTACACTGCTATAAACAACATTGAAAGCTTCAACAATTTCCGGATATCCTGACAATCAAATAGGCCATCGAAACAAAAGAGTCAAAAAAAGGCATAGAATCATAGCCAACCCCAAGTTAATTACCTCCACACAACATGACACATCCGCAGTTTGATACAAGCAGCTTCAACCAAAAAGTTCGGAAGGGAATTTCTCACGAAGACGTAGCCTGCTTTTTCTGCGCAAAGGGACCATCCCAGTGCAGCTTAAGCGACATGGGGAAGGGACAGAAAGAAGTTCCGTCAGCACGGAGGTAAACAGAATATCCGCCCTCCTGGGAAATCTTCTTAAGCTGGCCCTGGGCACCAGGAGCACGACGAAGACCCTGCAAACGACCGACAACACGGAGCATAGCAATAAGCGCGATCTTGGTGATCTGCTCGCCGAAGCCGGTGGTGGGACCCTGGCCGTGGTTGATATACGAGTCAAGAGGGCGGTCAAGCTTAACCTGGTCAGGCTCGGGGAAGACGCTAGAGTCGTGGTTCGCCTGGTTGAAGGAGGCGAAGACCTGCTGACCAGGCTGGATGGTGTAGATTTTGCCATCTTCCTCGACGGTGACAGCTTGCTTGGCCTCGCGGAAAGCGCCGAAGGTGCCGTTCAGACGAATAGCCTCCAGGCAATAGCGGTACAGCTTCTCGTCCGATTCGGCGGAGTTAGTCTTGGCAAATCGGTTGATCTCAGCCAGATGGATCTTGTTCTCAGGGGCGGTGTAGAACTCGATAATCTGGGTGAAAACCTGTCCCTGGTTGGGGACTAGGCCAACAATCGTTGGGACGATGGCAGACCAGGTGATGTCGGAGGCGCTGGAGCCGGCCTCCTTCATGCGGCGGATAGCTTCTGTTCCGAACTCGCGGAGGGCGTTATCGTGCGGGCGGAAACTGCCCATGATTCCGGCGAAGAGACCGCTGTTGGTGTCTGCTTTGACGGTGGATTCGACGACTTGGCCGAGCTGGGTGGAGACGGCGGAGGCGGCGCGGTTCAGGGCGTATGAG